GTGGCAGTAGGAACGGTGGCGGTGGGAACGACGGTGGTGGTGGGAACAGTGGCGGTAGGAACGGTGGCGGTGGGAACGACGGTGGCGGTGGGAACAGTGGCGGTAGGAACGGTGGCGGTGGGAACGACGGTGGCGGTGGGAACGGTGGCAGTGGGAACGGTGGCGGTGGGAACGACGGTGGCGGTGGGAACGGTGGCGGTGGGAACGGTGGCGGTGGGAACGGTGGAACGACGGTGGCGGTGGGAACGGTGGCGGTGGGAACGACGGTGGCGGTAGGAACGGTGGCGGTGGGAACGACGGTGTGGCGGTGGGAATGGTTAGCATGCTGTGCTGCGAACCCGGCGCAAAAAATGCCAACTTACATACCCCCTTCGCCCTGGAACTTGTCTTGGACAAAAAAACGACGTTGCCCTGAACACACGGTGCCACGCAAAACAAAACGCCCCCCACAACTAAGCTATGAAACAATTTTTTCATTATTTTACCAGGCAATCCCCCACGGAGCTATAAAGCAATTTTGCAGAAGCGACCTGGCCGCAAAAGATAGCGCAACGAAGTGGCTTATATCATGGAAATGTAAAGCAGCCAAACACTTGAAACGGGCGATGGTCGATTAAAAAATTGGGAGGGAAAAACCGGAGGACTCAGAGAAAATTCCACGCGACCACATGGAGAGAGACACGCAAACTCCAAATATATAGCAGCAGGCGTCAGGGTCGGGATCGAACCCAGGCGAGGTAGTTAACACATCTCCGAGCCACCGCGGCACCCCTTTGCTCAACAAAGGGGCTCGCGCGTTACCAGAATCAGATGATTAATTCATCCTGGAGGAATCCGATGAGGCATAAAGCTCTTTGTCACAGATGTCCAGTGACCCTCCCTAGCGCAACGGACTTCAAAGTCCGCAATCGGAGCGGTGCGTATTCCTACAGTGGTGAACGTTACCGCTCGTCCTGTCCGCCCGTGAAAAGCAGGGACGCCAAGACAATTGTTTCAGAATAATTTCGAGATGGGCAGGGTGGATTACTTGGACGTGGAGTCAGAAAACGAGACTAAACATGAAAAAGCCCTCTGACCGGGAAAAATATAGGTACAAGAGTCCAGGGAAGACAGTGAATTGAGTTGAAAAAGCGATTTGAACAATTGCATGCAACATAGAGTATCCAATGTAAAGTTCGAGACTGATGTCAAGGGCCGGGGTTTGATTCCCGACTCGGGCACCGTTCCGTGTGGAGTCTCGACGTGCTCCCCCTGTTCTGCGTTGGCTTGCCTCCAGATCCTGCATTTTTCTCCCATAGCTAAAAAAATAGACTCACAATGTAATTGGGTTTGACCAAATATCCCGATGCCAGACCCTCCTGATAAAGAGCCTTTGTAATTAGTGTGGCTGTTCTGGGTGAAGGGTTATTATTATTTTGCCTGGTGCCTACTCCCCCGCCTCTCGTGTACCCCCCCCCCCTCCTTGTGATGTCATTTAGCCCCTCCCCTGCTGCCCTTGTTAAATGGCGGTGCTGCTCATGTGTGGGCAGCTTCCTGGTCGCAGAACGCACGACTTCCTCGCACGTCACAAACGATTGCACAGAGCCCACAAACGCTCACATAAAAACAAACCCCCACCCCCCCCTCCCGTGTAGCCTTAACAGACTGTTGGGGCAAGTGCCGTTTGCGAATAGCGGCACCTATGAAGGCCGGCACGGCACACGAGGTAGTGGTGTGGCCAACACCACGCTCGGCTGCCTTTGTCTCCCCTGCGGCGGTGTTTACACACCGCACCAGTACTCATTTGAGGCGGAACCGGCCCAGAAACGCTCAGGGACCAGTTCAAATAATCGTCCATGGTGTTGGTGGCCGCGAGTGAGAATCGAACTCGGGTCGCCAAGTTCGTAGCGCCGCGCGCTAACCGCTACACTCCCACACACGCCGGCGCGCCGCTTACGGGAAACTAACCACGCTTCCTTTTGCAGCAACGCCGCTCCACACAGGGCCCGCGTAAGCAGAACCCACATTCACGTTTCAGCCCCACGGCTGATCGACGTCCCCCACTCCGCGGCGGGAGATGGAACCGGCGAGCTCCGGATTGAGAGTCCGGTGCACTCGCCAGAAAGCACGCAAATCGTGATTCGGGAAAATACCTCTCTGCGTGTCGGACAGCCAACGACTGGAACAAGCTGCCCCAATGACGTAATTGATGATTTTCCAAAGAACATGGATGCATTTAAATAAAGAATGTGATCTAAAAGAAGCCTGATACACAATCACTTTTGTTTTTACTTGTGATATATGTACTCTGTACGTTGTTTGCCATCGGACAGCGGTCCATCGTAGAGACGGAATCAATAAACCAAACGAAACACAAAGGCCGCATCCGAGGCTATAATGAGGCCACGATTGACGCCCGAATTTCAGACCTCGAGTAGTGTCTCGCAGAACAAAGCCTCTAAGGGTGGCAAGGTGTAGTCTGGAAGCTCCACACAGCAGGGCGCAGGTGTGGAAGTGCGCAATTTGGGATGTACATCGAGTGTGAAATCCCAAGGCCACCATACGAACGGATCGACCGTCGCGTAGGCACACAACGTGGAGCCGCTCGACGCATCCATCCAATGGTGAATGCCGATTCTTAAGTTTGTGAGCCAGGCGTCACCGAGTGAGCGGCGCAACGGGAGAATCGATGCTCTTCAATGCAACGTTCACGTTTGCATGCAGCCCACAAGGGGCGCTTCCATTCACCACAACGTGAGCATTGGAGAATCGATTCTCGATTTGAATCGGGAGCCTGATTCAAAACATTTAGGAGGTGGGGGGGGTGAATCCTCATGGCCCTGCACGCAAGGAGCAAGGTGTATGGCTCTGGTTGGTGACGTCCATTTGAACCAGAACACAGCTCCACTGTTCTATGATTCTGTCGATTGCAACGAGGACGATTGAAAAGGTGTCTTTGCCCGCAGGTTGTGGTGCCGCGGTGGAGAGATGTTAACTACCTCGCCTGGTATACAGGTGGTCGTGGTTTTGATCCCAAACCAGACGCCTGCTGTATATTTGGAGTTTGCGTGTCTATCTCTCCGTGGTCACGTGGATTTTTCTCCGGGTCATCCGGTTTTTCCCTCCACATTTAGAAACGTGCGTTTGTATTTGGCTGCGATAAATTTCCAGGTGATAAGCCACTTCGTTGAGCTATCATTTGTGGCCAGGTCGCTTCTGAAAAATAACTACATAGCTGAGTGGGCCTTACCTGGTAAAATAAAAATTGTTTCTCGTTTAGTTTTAGTTTCCATTCCAATAGGGGCAGCTGAATATCCCTTCTGGTCGGAGGTAGGGAGTTGACAATTCCCTCGGCCGCATCACTCGCCAGCTGACACGGCGAGTATGCGATACCATGCGGCGAGGGTTACAATCCAAATGTTGTGACGATATACGGCAAAATAAAAAGAACCTCGCACAACGCTCGCTCCTTGGCTCTCTCCTTTGCGAGGGAGAGGCTAAATTGCAATGGCCTTGAAATAGTGTATAATGGGCAATGAACTCAATTGTGATTCCGCTCGTGTTACCCATGAAAGCCTCACAGAGTCTCAAGACTCGTTTCCCGGAGGGTCCTGTCAAGTTTTTTGTTAAAGTTGGCTTTAATGTTGCTGCTGCTGCTATTTGTGACCCCAATTGACTACGATTAGTCATTGTGTGCGTGCTTTTTTTATTTAGCTTTCAAGTTTAGTTCAACCATATTCTGTGGGTCTGTCGGTAAAGTCACATAGATAGGTTCAAATAAAATAATAAACCTACGTGATCGGGGTGAGCAGCTACATCATGGGACCTCCTTTGCCAGTACATGATGTAGCTGCTCACCCCGAGCTTTCATTACTCTGATAGTGGCATTGTCTTTGGGCTGTCCGCCTTTTGGCGTCCTCTGGTCTAACACCGTTTGAGACGAGGCTCCAAAAAAAGCTGTCTCTGGTGTGGACCAATCAGTTTCAAAGACAATGCATATATTATCAGAGTATGTTTTTTGTTTGCATTCTGACCAGTATTGTGGTTAATGCAGACATGATTCCTTGTAAAAAAGGTTTCAGTTTTGTTCCCAGAAAAAAGGGGAAAAACCTATTCTTAAACCTACGTGACTTTACCGAAAGATCCAAAGCATATCAATTCTTGCAGTCACGAAAGCTTTAAGTAAAAAAATTAGTTCAACCAGGTGGGGACTCAATAGACCACGATCAGTCTCATTTGCAAATGGCTCGGCTTACAGAACGGCGTTGCTATCTATTGCGTGAGCCCACGAGACTTTATAAATAACATTAGATAGCAAAACGTGCGAATTATTCGAGCGTTAAAAATAACAAGCCAAGCGGCACATTCTCCATCTGTAAACACAACTCTGCGATTGGCTACCTACTAAACGCGTGCGCGTGGCATTTCCGAACACGGGATCGTTTCACAATTATCCTGCACGTTGTAAATAAACACCCTTCTTGTTTACAGCCACTCTCTCTAAACAGCCTCTATCTCACGATCTGGGAACGGCACGCAGCGCCAGGGGAGGGAACCGTAGGCAGAGATAATCGGCAGCTTTCACTGCAGCCCAGCAGTTCCCTGGGGCAAGGCCGCCGACTAAAACAAGCGCACTTTTAGCCACCGGTCATTGTGAAATGCGTGCCCCCTTCATGGAAGAGCGAGCCCCAGACGGCATGGGAACAACTCCCTGGGCACGCGCACGGCCAGGATAGAGGGCTTGGGTAGCCAGCGGCTACTTGCGGTCGACGTCGCAAGGCATCGCATGTTTACTCTACACAGACAGCGTGCGTCAAGATTTTTTTTGTGGCCAATGTGGCGTGGAGTGGTGCGGTGTGGGTCCAGTGCGGCGCCGTGCAGTGCGGTGCGGTGGAGTGTGGTACAGCGTGGTGTGGAGTGGCGTGCCGTGGGGTGGAGTGGCGTGCTGCGCGGATTGGCACAGTGCGGTGTAGTCTGGCGCGGTGTGGCACAGTGTGACGCGGCACGGCGCGGGCGGGCACCTTGAGGTCGAGATGCACGACGCTCTTGCGATGCAGGAAGGCGATGCCGTCCAGGATCTGGGTCATGAGGCGCACTACGTCGCGCTCCGTGAACGCCTCCTCTCTCTCGGCCACGCATTGGTTGAAGATCTCCCCTCCTGCCGCACTGCACGAGACAAAGACAAAGAACCCCGTATAGCCTTAACAGACTGTTGGAGCAAGTGCTGTTAGCGAGCACCTATGAAGACCGGCATGGCACACGAGGGGGTGGGTGGTCAGCACCACGTGTGGCCGCCTTTGTCTCCCCAGTAGCGATGTTTACCACACCACACCAGGTATACTCATTTGAGGCTGAGTCGACCTAAGAGAGGCCCAGGACCAGTTCACATATTTGTCATCGATGTTGGGCGCGAGTGGGAATAGTTCCGCTGGTGCGGTCCACCGAGTGAAATAGCTCTTTTACAACAGAACTACCACGGCCCAAGACTGTACAGAGATATCGCCAGATAATGCACACACAATCTACCGTGGGGTCATGTAAAACTCCGGATAGACAAAAACATTTTAAAAATCTAAATTAAGAAATATATCGACTGGCCCCTGTCCTTCAAAGCCAAGGAAAAGCAAACTGCTCCATGCTGAATGTGACGGAAAGCAGACCGAGCAGTGAAAGAGAATGAATGTAGTTCAACCCTGCAAATCACGTTGCTGTATTTACAAGCAAATAGCATTCCGCGTTGTCAACCATTCAGAACAAGTACGGAATTCATTGTGACCCTCGTTTATTAAAATTCTGCTCCGCTAACACCGCTCAATTTGGGCAAAGGCAGCGAATAAACATCGCGGGTGCATTTCTTCTTTCTTTTTAGATGATTAAGGGGCAATGGGGCCACAGAAAATAAGCATTCTTTTGCCAAAAGTGCTGATCCTCTGGAATTTAAATATAATCCCCGGGCCATATTTATGCATACCGAAGCAGGGCTGCTGTTGCTCAGATTTGTGGGAATAACGTTTAAAGCGTGGCCACATGGCTCCGTGTCCTGCGAAACTCGGGATGTGGCACTGCCTGACGTCCGCATGGTTAAAAATGTTTGTAACTATGCAGGAGCACGAGGGGCCTTATCGCAGCGATCATTGACGATGAATTCGGCCTGCCCAAGATCCACGCAGCCTCAAGAGTCCGCTGACCCCTCCTGGTTAACGGATCACCAGGACGGTGAACAAAAGACATCGAGTAAAACCTTGGATTGTGAGTAACTTGGTCTGCGAGTGTTTTGCAAGACGAGCAAAAAATGTAAGTAAATATTAATTTGATAAACGAGCGAGGTCTTGCAATACGAGTAGTACGTGTATACGCTTTGTCTGCTGAGCGTCACATGATCACAACTGATATACGAGTGCTTTCATATACGAGTGCTTTAGATTACAAACACGTTTCCGGAACGAATTATGCTCGCAATCCAAGGTTTTACTGTACCGCAGTAAATGCTGCTGGATTGCAAGAATACCAAACCCACAACTTGGACACAACTAGATTGCATTGCTTCTTGGAGTTTCAGTGCCACACCACGAGGACAACATTCACAACAGATTGACACTAAGCCCAGGTTGTGGTTTGCAATTAAATTATAATTTGCAAAATGCTGACGAGCCTCATTCCAAGGCCGTCCTCTCAGTCCGTGTTGCATGAGCGTGCGTGGTGCTGCACATTCGGGGCACGCAATCGCGGATCCAGCAGATTTTAGAGACTTCCCAACGCCGCTCGATGGCGGGACGACCAGAGGATGGCAGTACCACAAGTGGGGTTTACCCCGAGGCTTGTGTAGCATTTCTCCGGGTACATCACTGCATGCAACAATAACTAAAAACCAACCACTACTTCAAAAAGGGAATTTGCACAAAAAACGTTCCATTAAATCAGAATCAGAAAATGTATTTAGACTGCAGCAGGAGGAATCCGATGAGCTATAAAGTTCTCTTCCACAGATGTCCAGTAGGGGCACGGGGTAAGAACTATACAACAACAAACAACACAAAAACACGATAAGAGTGCAAAGTGCAAGAGAGATAAAAAAAATCACCCAAACACATACACATGAAACTAAGCCATTCTGCATCCTACCAGGCAAAGCCCACTGAGGCTTTAACTTATTTTTCAGAAGTGACTTGGCCACAAATGATAGCTCAACAAAGTGGCCCCATCATTTGGCCATATTTTTAAGCAGCAAAATAATCTAAATAACCTCACAATGCAGAAACGGGCCGCCTCAAGGCTTCACGAGTGTTTCCTTGAAACACAAATGTCGTTACGAATCGTGCTTTTCGTTTGAAGTGCCCATCTCAGCAGAGGTACCAACCCCAAGCCACAGGGCCAGCTGAACACAGGCGATAGGTGCACGGAAGAAGTGGTCAGAAAGGCAGTGCGAATACGCAAACAAAATGCGGACAAAATAAAACGTGTGCAATCTCATTTCCAGAACATGCCGAGGCACAAATCAGATTGCGAACATTTCAACCACTGCTGCGTGCGCCCCGTTCCGCCAATTGCATGTTTACTCTGCGAGGCCCAATGGCGAGTATCAGGCACACAAAGATCCTGTAAACTGTTTATAGGATAATGCACAACACGCAAGCCTCTCTCCAGACAAGAGCATGAAAAAAATCGCCTAACCGAATTTATTGCCGTTCCCACCAACTGAAAAGAATGGCCAGAGAGAGACGACTTGGTGATGGTGTTAGTCTTGTACGTTGCATCAATTGCCCCGTGGTTGTGTATTGACTTAGCTCCCCCCCCCATCTCACAGGATGTGCTATATATAATAAAGAGAGAAAGTTTCTTTCACCATTGTAAGATGACCTGAAATGCCATAACGGGGCTGTGTAAAATGCCACTCAAATTCGCTGTTTACATAAAGCGATGCGGGGATTTTCTCAGCCGAACTGTTACCACTCAACCGTGCCAAGGCTGTATTTGTAAAATTAAGGACCATTATTTCCACTCGAATTTACCGAGTAATGCCTCTAATCCAACGTGTAAACTAGAAACTAAACTAGTTTTTATTTTACCAGGTAAGGCCCACTGAGCTATACAGCTCTTTTTCAGAAGGCACCTGGCCACAAATGATAGCTCAACGAAGTGGCTTATCACGTGTATATCAGGCAACGTGGTTAACATCTCACCACCGTGGCGTGTCCGTAGAACCTGTCGTGTAAGACCAAAAAACAGAAGGTCCGTCAGACTCGGTGTATAAATAGTACCATGCTGGGCCAAAGAAGTGCACAGGTCACACGTCAGTCAAGGAAATACTATTCAAACAATTATCAATTACTTCAGAGTTTCCGAGCAAATAGGGCTGGAATGGGTATCTCTTGCAGACCAGTGTAACTGGTGCCTGCCCAAACATCCCAATGCTTAAAAGTCACCTACGAATTACTCGGTTTGGATTTCACACACAGTAACAACATCACCCTACACTGCAAAAAATAATTTTCATGACTCTTTTTCAAGAGGGTCCTGCGACTCGGTAAACAAGCGTAAAAAATAACATAAACAATAAAGGAGTGGGGCTCTGTGTCAGCAGTGTCAGTGAGGCCCACTTGGGTAAACAAACTAAATGAATATTCTAGTAATGTAGCTGGACACCGAGACAGGCCAGGGTGACTACTCCCCTGTATTTCACCTCCGTCACACACGCAGTTCCCTCCACCCACATCTCTCCTCCGTGCCGCCCTCTTATCCCAACGGTCCCATCTCGCAGGTTAACAACACGTAGGCTTTAGCGACCAATATCACCCATAATACAAGTTTTTTTGGGTTATATCGCGTAAATATATAAATGTGTCGTTAAATCCGCCAACGAAACATCGTACTCGGATTGTAAATGCTGTGGCTTGGCTCTCCCAACACACCGGTGTGCTGTACTAGTGACGAATTGGCACGTTCTGTTTACGTGACAACCCTGACTAGTTGGCTGTGTCGGGTGGTGGCGGGTTTTAACGACACATTTATACATTTACGCGATCTAACCCAAAAAAAAAAACCTGTATTATGGATCCCATCTCCCTGCCCCTCCCCTCATCCCTGTCACCTCATCTCCCACTGCCAATCACAACATCGTCACACCTCGGGACCGCGTCTCATCTCAGCGTGCGTGTACGTGGGGGGGGGTAGGGAATGGCGATGTAGTGGGGGGCCGTTGCAGAGGACCGTTACAATAGGAGCAGTAACGATGATAATTGCACGTGTGGCGGTCTTGTTGGTGTTGTTGGTGTTGTTGGTGTGGGGGGGGGGGGTGCGGGCACGAGGACTTACTACTCAAGCACGAGGATGATCTCGCCGGCCGTCTCGTAGACGCGGTGGAGGCCGATGACGTGCGGGTTGCCGTGCGCCAGCTCCAGGATGGCCACCTCGTGGATGATCTCGGCGCGGAGGTCCTGCCCCTTGCGCCGCTTGCGCACGAACTTGGCGGCGAACTCGCGGCCCGTGGACACCTCTACGCACTTGCGCACCACGCCGAAGCGGCCCCTGCCAAGGCAGACACGGTCACCGGAGCGAGAGCGTTAACCGGAGCGAGAGCGTCAACCGTTCTCGAACGCGCGGAGCGAGGCGCTTCCGGCTCGGCAAACGTCAACGTTGCCGCTGTGAAAATCGACCGCGTGTGTCGCCGGCGACCATTTCCCACAAGGCTCTAGGTCACAACGGTGCCGGGGTCTGAGCCTGGCTGCTGCTCGAGTTGGGATGAGCAGGGGCCTGTTGGGTTGGGGGCCGCCTGTGAGGTGGCCAGAAGATGAATGCGCAGCAATGGATTCTTGAAAACATCTGTGTGGAGCTTTGTGCGTGATCCACTCCTGTGCGTGGTGGGTTTTCCCCAGTTTCCTCTCACAAGTAGCCAAACACTCGGAATCGGCTAAACATCCCAATTTAGCGGGACCCTCTTGAAAAAGAGTGTTGAGACTCTGGGAGGCTGAGGTAAAATGCATTTTCATTATAATTTCAAAGTTCATATCATACATGAGGGCAATATCACCATAACACTGAGGCCTGTCTTATCATCTCCTGTCAGCGAGTTTGACAATTCAAGTGGCCACAAAACGCACCTAGCCTGGCACATACGCGCAATATTTGTCCACAGCACTCAAAGGGGCAATTCCCCAGGGGCGCAGCGCAAACTCGGCTGAAACGACGCGGACGTGGGGAAGGAATCGCCCAGCCCGTGTAAAAACGGCCATCAATTTGATTCCAAGGCTGTACCAAGATAGTTGTGTACCACACGTGATCGATTCCACGCATCTTGGCTTCGGCGAACCCGGCGGACAGATGCGCAATTTCCAAATAAAAGTTGCAGCAACCTTCCTGGGACACAGGTGAGAAGATGTTGGGAGGAATTACATTCGATGCCTGGGGAGGTCCTCTCAATGCCGCTCCTCAAGGGAGGGACGATGACTGAAGCCCGGCGACCGTCGGAAACAAAACTTTGGCGGCCGACCGCAAAGCCACCCAAGGAGCCTCCGTGCCGGTATTTATATCCGTGCGCAAATACGCTCGCGCTCACGTGTGTCACTCGGTGCGCGCCGATTACTTCAGGCAACTTGTTTATGATTTTTTTAAGTGCCCCCCGAACGCCGGTCACGGTAAACTCCACATCGCTAATTCGACACGTTCTACGTTTCTGACCCCTCCGAGCACCGGGCCGTGAAACAGCTCCGCTGGGAGGCCACGGCTCGGCGCAGTGCCCCCCCCCCCACCGGCCAATCGTCGAGTTGAACAGAGGGGGGCCGGGGAGGAGTTCAACGTCGAGGGCCGCGTGAGGGGCCATGGAAAAAAAGCGGTGAGGGGGGGAGGGGGGGCGGAGACCGCCGCACGCCGCTGTGAGCATCGTCGATATTATGGCGAAGCAAGTCCACCCGGCGTCACTTGGAACAGCGCCGCCGAGTTTCTGGCGTTCGCGGCGCCGTCAAGAGCTCTCCGGGTGGAGATTGCCTGGAGAGCTTTAGAATCGCAGACCCGCTCAAGTTTCAGCATCGAATCTCCACCTTCCGCCCAAATTGTCCATCGATATCTTTATGTGTTCCAAAGCCACAGCATAGGTCACACAATCCTATTAGGTGTAAAAGCCCACAAATCTCATTAGAAAAGTAACAAATCCCGTAAATACGAAGTTGATTACACAATTACAGTACCTCTGCTGACAGTCAAATTGCAGACTGGTGCACGGGGAACCACTCCGTCCTTAGAGCGGAATTCAGTGCCGGTCCTCGTCGTACAAAACCCTCGACAGGAGGACGCCACGTAGGTCACGCCACGTAGGTCACGCCACAAAGTAACACGGGGAGGGGGGCGGGGGGCTCTACAGCGACGGGACGCTTCCAATATCACAACCGGTGAAAAACGCCCCAGCAGAATAACGAACGGAGCACCGGCCCCGGGTACTCTTCCATAATAGAGCCATGATGGAGCCGACGTGTTAAACCCCCCAGGTGCTGCTCTCTGTCGGCCATCGGCGGTGCGCGTCGCCGAGACAGCGGACGTCACTCATCTGAGCAAAGTCCACGGTGGGGGGTGGGGGGTGTGGGAAATGACGCCGCTCAGACGGACGGCAGACACAGCCGCCGCCACTGGCCTCCCTCCGTCCCTCCGCCCTGCGAGCGGCGCACAAAGCGAGAGACACGTGGAGGTCACCGCGCCGGTGAGCTCATCCCGCCGCAGCAATAGCGGAAACGTGACGAGCGCTGCACGCCGTCCGCGAAGATCAAGTGATAAACGCCGAGACAGAGCGGCACGAAGAGACAGACACAAGGAGATAACCCCCCCCCCCCCCCACCGTTGCACAGCAGACACGTACAGCATGCGAGCAGAACAACGACGCGGAAATCCGTGAAAAAGAACTACATATTTCATCGGATTCCTCCAGTAAATAAATATTGGGATTCTGATCCCCTCGGCCCGCGAGCCGGAGCACCGGACGGCATAGACTCGGGCCTGCGCACTGCCCCCCCCCCCCTGGAGCCCCCCACCTGCCCCCTACGGAGCCCCCCCACGGCACGGCACGAGTGTCCGACTTCGCCAGCGAGCAAAGCGGTTCAACTAAGGGTCGCGCAACAAAGCCGCTGCTGCCACGAAGGGGATTAAAATTAATTGACTTTTTAAAAGTGCTTTAAGCTAAAACGTTGAAGCCGCGTTGTTGGCACCGTGCCGTGTAGATGATCGTAATGCCCGGGAGCGTAATCGACATCAGCTGGGGCTACTGCTGCGCTGGATGTAACAGGAACGGCCTGAACATTGCTTAAAACACCTCCAACTCTGGTAGCTAATGCAACGGCTGCTTATTTTCGCGCAAGTGTATAATCAAATTCGGAATCATGGCTTACAGGGATTGGTACAACGCAATCTCATTACGCGGAGGAAGTTTAATAGAACAAAACAAAAACAACAAGCGTGGGTTTCCAGGAGAGAGGGGTGGACAGCGAGATATGACCGATAACACCATTTGCATCTGGGCAGCAGGGTGGTGGTCCGGTGGTAACACTGGTGCCTCACAGCAAGAACGGCCTGGGTTTGATTCCAGACTCGGGTGCCTCGCTGGATGGAGCGTGCATGTTCTTCCCCTGCTCTGCAATGAACTTTTTTCTGGGTTTTCTGGTTTTCTCCCAAAGCTAAAAAGGAAAACCACACGCACAGAATGTAAGAGGAATTGGCCAAACACAGCCCAATGCTGAAACATGACTCGCTGGGGATGACACACAGCAGTCAATGTCCACTACTGGCAGACTAATGCCCATCGCCGAGCCAGGAGTTGAGTCTCATCGCGCCGCACGGGTACGACCCCGAGCGGATTCCTTGGCCAGTAAACAGCGGCAGCTTTTCCCAGAGTGATCACTTGGCCCCAGGGGTAGGTGGTAGGGGGAGTGAGATGGGGGGGGGGGGGGAAGGAGGATAGACGACAGGAAGGGGAACGCTGAGAAAGAAAAGAATCTATGACGTGTTGATTCTGTTGCTAAATAACGGCTTGCCGTGCTCCTCAACGGTCGTCGTCAATATCTGTGACAATATTTACTCCGTCGCTTCCTCCTGCGGCAACGCAAGCGTTGTGGGCTGAGGTTACGAGGCCCGTGACTCGGCACTGCGGAGGTGCGGGAGGGAAGACCGGGCTACCAGCGACGCTGCCAAAGACTCGCTCGGGGCCTCCACCGCAGAGTCGGCGTCGCGACGACGCACGTCGCCCCGTGTCGACCCACGTCGCCCCGCGTCGAGCGAACGAGCGTCGCCCCGCGTCGAGCGCCCAGCGGGAGGTCACCTACCAGGGGTGGCGCGCGAGGTGCCGCACCGGCAGTTTGAGCGCGTGGGTGTTGTGTCGACCACGGTTCCCGAGGGCCCGCGAGGCACGTGGCGAGGGGAGATAGGGCTCCGTTATCGGGCGGCAGGTACCACGCATCGCCACGGTGGGGGCGCATTCCAGGAATTGGGGGGGGGGCTGCTATCAAACTCGGCACGTGACGACTGATTTCCTAGAGCAGACTTGTTAACGCAGCAGTACAAGTAACGTATGGAGGTTGCCAAAAGTTAACCGTGTGGTATTCTAGTAAAGCATGGTTTGACCAGGTGGACAGACGGTTTTGGTGCACAATCAGATAAATAAAAGTTTGAGGGTCAACAAAGCCCCTTAACCCTTCTTATCATTATGATTATGATCTTTGTGATCCCAGAAGCCTCATCACCGAGTATCAACTCTTTTTCAGGATGGTCCTGCCCAGTTTTTGCAGTATGGGCCCGATGTTGCCGCTGTGTGTGATCCCAATTGAGTGATGTGCAGGTAATTTTTCAGCATTGGGATGTGTGGCGGGTCTTTTGGTAAAGTCCCGTAGATAGGTTCAAAGAAAATAACAAAAAAACTACGACGTTTCGATTGCAACACCAGCGGTCATCATCAGGAAACGGGGGTTAGCTTCTGAAGGCAAATTGTTGACGATCTGATGACGAGCGCTTGTGTTGCGATCGAAACGTCGTAGTTGTTTTGTTATTTTCTTTGAACCTATCTACGGGACTTTACCGAAAGACCCAAAGAATATGAATTCCTGCAGTCACGAAAGCTTTAAGTCAAGATTCAATAACAGTTGTGTAGCTACGGGAGGAAACCGGAGAACCCCGAGGTAACCCATGCAGAACAGGGGGAGAATAAACAAACTCAACACAGAAATGTGCCCTTGTTGGGAATGCTACGCAGGCACTGCTTGCTGTGAGGCACGCGTGCCACCACTGCGCCAACCTGCGTGTGTACGGATGCTAAAATAGGAGTTGGGCAGAGCGTATCTTTAAATGGCAATACTTAGCCAGGAGTAGACATTCCAAATTCATCTGGTGGGGCCAGTCTATCCAAAACAAACATTTTTCTGACTTTCAATGAATTGCACGAATGTTGTTATCAACCCAAAGGCGATGATGGGGCGTAGAAGACGCCTGACCTAGACTTGATTATTGTGCTTTGCCGCAGCATCTCCAGTCTGGATAGGACTTAATTGTCATCAATATACAGGGACAGATGCTACTGGGGGTGCGCCTTTTCAAACGTTTCAGATGAGATGCAAGTTGCTTATCGTGCAAAGCGCTCCGAAACACTCTGGCGGAAAGGACGCTCTATCAAACACAATTAATTGTTAACATCATCATGGTACAGCAGCTGGACTGTGCTGCGTGTCTGGTTAGTTTATCAGTACAGGTCAAAGTCTGGGCCAGAAAAGGAGCAAAACGGACGATCTGAGATGCCAAGTGTTGTGGATGGTGGCAGCAGCGTCCTCATTAAAATAAATTTAGGCAAAACTATTGACTTCCGTCTGTTTAATGCCCTTCATTTTGCAAAAGTCCACGAGATGAAGTATTTCTCCCGAAAGCAAGAACTGCCTTATAAGCACATAACGGCATGCCGATACACTTTAACCTCCTCTTGCGAATAAGCTCGCAGGCCCTTGATTCTACACTTTAGGCAAGCGATTTTTTGTTCCGACAAAAATGTATCAAACTGCCGACTCTGAAAACTAGCCGAGTGGTAAGTGCCGACAAAAAGATCAATCCTATCTGGGCAAAGTTGATCTAAAACACAATAAAGCTGTGTCGTCAATGATCTGCGATGACGCAAGTCCATTATTATAACACCGGATGAGAGGCACACCGACTCACATCCGAGGGGGAAGGGGAGGAGGACGAGGAGGGCAATAGCTACGCTAACAAGAACCACGGTGACGCGCTCCAAAGCTTCACATCCTTGCACCGCTCCCGCCCGGCCAGCCGACCCGAGGCATTTAAAGGGCGCGACTTGAACGACGTTGCACAAACGCTGCAAACGCTGCGGTGGCCGCGGGCGTGAGGGCCCCCACTCCACTCCCCCGGTACTGCTGCTGTGGTGGCCGCGCGTGCAGCGCTGCTGATAACGAGCCAGTTGGCAGAAGAAGGGGGGGGGGGGTGCCACTCGCTGTGGGCTACGGCTCTCGCCCGATTCGCATTCATTTCCAGATCCGCAAACGGGATACGGGGATACGCTCAAGGCCAAAGGATTCTTTCTACGGGGCACCAAGACTGTGACGACGCGTGAAGCTGGCGGGAAGGAGCCCGAGACGAGGGTTCGTCTCTCGGACCACTTACAAAAGCAAGTTGCAGGCATCGGATCGACAACGTCTGCCGGGAGGTGTTGACCAGGAGGAGCGATGGGGGGGGGGGGGGCACAGGTGGAATAGATCCCCTTCTTGGCAGAGTTTGAGCGATCCGTACTTCACGGGTCCCGGAGTTCAACTGGGACAAGCGTGATGTCGTCTCCAATTACAAACGCAGGCACGAGGACCTCCGAGTCTGCTAATATAATTTGCAACCACACAGACGCTTGGCTGGAAAACAAATGTCCGGTGCAAGTTCACCGAGTTGAGTGAACAGCTATTAGCGTGGCTGTTTTGCCCAGGTAATAAGCCTCAGAAGGAATATTAGCAGCAATATCGCCTTAACAGGAGCAGATTCGTGCGAGCTAATGAGCTAATAACACTTTGTGTGGGATATTCTCTCAGCTGACAGTTTCCGAGAGGATTAACATCATGAAAGTCAAAAGAGAATGTCAAGAACCTAGGGGAATTCCACACAGAACAGGGCACTCGCCCAAGTCGAACCAAGGACCTCATTGCTGCAAAGGTTACCATTACGCCACGCTGCCGGCAAAATGTAAGATTTATGATTCAATTCAAGAGATATTTTTTTTTCTTATCCTATTGTGGTAAATGTAGCGACCTCTTGAGGCAGCAGGGGCCACATGAACCAATGCTGTACAAGACATACGAATCGATTCCTCAGCACACAATCCGTCCCGTGTGTCGCGACCCTAAAAATCTATTTCACTCCGTGACCCGAGGAATCATTAAAACACCCAGCGGTGACGAATCCACCACAGATGCCAGATCGTGCTTCTCGCTGCGTGACATTCACCGCTGTGGTTCGCACCGTTGGCCGTACTATTCTCACCAAAAGTGCCCGCCGCAAGAAGACGCGTCCTCCAAGTCCCGTAAGTTTATCGGTTGTGCGCCACCAGGGTGACTTCTCTCGCGCCTCGGCGTGAGTCACGAAACATGCCGGCCCATCTTCCGTTTGATGTACGCGTCGAGACGCGTCTCCGCACGCCTTTGCGGCAAATGTTTGTGTTTGTTTGTATCAGTTTGGATCAGAAGAGCGTTCGGTGAAAATGTAAATCGAGAAAAATTTGACACGTTGATTTTAATCGTCAAGGACAAATGTCGCTCCGGAATTTTACCAAACTCGCATTAAAAAAGGTAAACACGTTTAGAAAATTTGTTTTACTTTAAACTTTTGTGTATTCTTGGTTCTTTCGGTAAAGTCACGAAGATAGAAAACAAAAATTAAAATTGAAAGCAATAAACCCACGATCGAAACGTCGCGGGTTTTTTGCTTTTCATACGTGACTTTACCGAAAGAACCAAGAAAAGAATTTACGTGGATGTGCGAGTATTTGCAAACAGCAAATACAGTCGTGCCATCCGGAGATGTAGTCACAACGTGTGTGTGTCTGTGTGTGTGGGGTAGGGCAGCCCCGTGTGTCACGCCGTGATCCACAACACTTTGGAGAAGGCAGTGACGGAACCACGCAGATTTGTCAAACTCCCAAACCGGCTGGGCAGGAAGGTGGGCAGGAAATGGCAACGCAGCAAGCGGGTTTCGTGGACCCATCTCTGGGTAAACTCCAGCTTGCAATGGCGATCAATCTGTATTTAATGTGCTAAAAATCGCCCTCCATAAAGTTGGCGTCTGTGCACATTGCGACGGAAGGGGCAGGCGTTGACGAGATTCTCACAAGCCAAAGGTCCCAGTGCAGGACCCTCCTGAAAACGAGTATTGAGACCCAGTGAAGATCTCCTCGCTCCATGGGTCTCAACACTCACCGTGCGGTCACAACAATACAGCCGAGGAATGACTCCTTTCAAATGGCAAATTGTGAACTTAAACGCAGTCTCTTATTTTGCTGCGGATTTAAATAGGACATTTGACATTTTTATTCGTAAAAAAAAGTATTCCCCCACGAGGCCTTTTCTCAATACCAGAGCCGCTCACCTCGGGGACAAGGTTAGAGACGAAGAGACAGGCAGAGACACGGGGCAGAGACACGGGGTAGGGACAGAGACACGGGGCAGAGACACGGGGTAGAGACACGGGGTAGAGACACAGACACGGGGTAGGGACAGAGACACGGGGCAGAGACACGGGGTAGGGACAGAGACACGGGGCAGAGACAGAGACACGGGGTAGGGACAGAGACACGGGGACAGAGACACGGGGTAGGGACACGGGGTAGAGACAGAGACACGGGGTAGGGACAGAGACACGGGGTAGGGACACGGGGTAGAGACAGAGACACGGGGTAGGGACACGGGGTAGAGACAGAGACACGGGGTAGGGACAGAGACACGGGGTAGAGACAGAGACACGGGGTCGGGACAGAGACACGGGGCAGAGACACGGGGTAGGGACGGAGACACGGGGTAGAGGCAGAGACACGAGACAGACATACGGGGTAGGGACAGAGACACGGGGTAGGGACAGAGACACGAGACAGAGACACGGAGTAGAGACACGGAGCTAGGGAGCCGCTCACCTGCCCAGTTCGTCGCTCCCCGCCAACGCGAACCCGCAGTGGAGCGGCTCCGTGTGGATGAGGGACCGCGCCTCCGCCAGCAGCCCCAGGCGGACGGGCCCCTGCCCGGTCACCATCCCGCTCGCCTCCTCCTCCTCCTGCCTCGCTGACGATCTCTGTGCTGCCACTGCTGGCGCCGTCACATTTGCTATTCGCTGCGCTGTGGACACTTTCGTAGCTGCCACTGCTGCTGCTGCCACTGCTACACGTGGTGGTGGTGCCTATAGCGGGGCTCTCTCCTCCTCCTCGTCTTGGACGCACGCAGCAGGCACTCGCACGGCACCCACGCGGAGCTGGCAACACACTTACAGGCGAAGTAACAACACGCTAAGAAGTCACAGACGACGACGAGGAAGCAGCACAGGGAGACTTCCACACGCAGTGAGCGCACCCATTACTTTCCGTGGTACCGGCGTCCCGCGTGCTCTTTATAGACGCGGCGGTCACCGCCCACTGAGCCGAGGCGACCAATCACAGCCGGCGGTCGTGCCCGAGGGGGCGGGGCCACAGGCAGGTGGGAGGAGACGTGATTCGGGAGGAATTTCAGAATTCAACACTCGCTCATTCATTCTTAGTCGGGGTTTCAACGCGGCATTGTGTGATCATGCATCAGTTGCCGGATTATCCTAGTGGCAAAAGTGGATACATATGCTACGGGCCACGTACTTTGAAGGGCCCCGCGCTAAATGCATTCAAGCTATGAATTCCGGTTCAGTGATTCTGCACTTGCTCTATTACTACAGTAATATACTGCCTTCGACTTTTATGAACGACTGGGTGATTACGGTTAGGGATTTGTCGTATTATCTGGCTGTAGAGCAAATAAAAAAATGCAATTACTCTACTGTGCACGTAAATTTTTTTAATGTGTTTTAATGTATATTTATTTATTGAGGGCCCTTTTATAACATATGCTACAGGCCCCGCACTAGCTTAATCCTGAACTGGTGATCATGCTGCTGTTATTGTGTTAACAGTGATGCACGTGCACAGTTAACAACAAATTCAACACATTCGTCAATAAAAACTGCGGCCATAAAATGAAAGACGTTTCAGGTAATGGGCCTTCTTCACTGCACACAGAGGCCAAGGGGAGGTATGATTTTGGAGGCTGCACTTTACACGAAAAGTGTTTCACACCCCGCCACACCTAAAATTAATATTGGGTCCAAGCATGAAAACAACTCAACGTATTTAAACAGAGCTACTGTTGCACCAGACATTAACTTCGCATTGGGTCACACGGCGTAAACTGCCATTACACCCAACACAGCAATTGCTCTGGGAAGACGAGTCCACCGTCACAGGAATGTGGAATTTCCACCACCACTGGCTCAGGGCTACTACTATCAGTGGAAATGAACACCATCACCCTCAGCTCGAGTCACAACATCGTACACCGGGCTCCAGGACCACGAATAACAACAATAGCTGCTGGTCAATTGCTAGAAGAAACGTGTTTTGGCTTTAAAAGAATGCCAAGTCAATGTCGCTACTACTCTCACACAAAAAAACGGCTTATTCACATGAAGTGGCTGAACAAACATTTGACCGACACAGAGCACACACTCGTGTGCAGTATGAACGTAGTAGAAGAGTCAAAGAATCACCGTCCGTCAACAGTAAAAACGACATTTATTGTTTTGATTCCAGCACACAATCCGAGAACATCGACAACAAAACGGATCTGTCCGGTACCATCGGTCACTATTGGCGGCTTGAGAATGCAACAGGCCGTGCTCCGGCAAAAACCCCTCGCTCTTTGAAAATATAAATGTGCAAAGTTGGTGACACGCGGGTGAGAATATCTGCTTGATGCAAACGTTTTATCGACGAAAAACGAAACAAAAAAAGCCCGCACCGAGTACTGCACTGCCGACCCTCTACGTCTGGTCCATGCTCGCAAACCCACAATCCTCGTCCACGTGGTCAATCAGCGCCCTGAACGGCGACTTTGCACCGACCCTTCACAAATTATACTAAAGCAGCCAAGGCAACACAAACAAAAAAACAACATTTTCAAAACTGACTTCCACTTACTCGACCATTTTATACAATGAAATGTGAAATACAATCATACAAATAATGAAATGCTGTGAATACCACACCGCGACTCTGGTGTCTGCTATAACACGAATCGACTGCGATACTATACAAACAACGCTCTGGTTACACAAGCAACGTCAGACATCTCGCTGTCGATGCCAGCCCTCTTGGTGTATCCACAGACAAACGCACCTCCAAGTGCAGCCATCGCACCTCATCCAGGTGACAGGTCAGGCGAGCGCGTGGCCAGATCGATCTGTTTGGGTCCATGCAGCGGTGGCGATGGGATCGTCACGAGTCATCAGCCAAATGCACCGTCAGCACAAATGCACCGTCAGCACAAATGCATATACCACAAACACACGCCATGTAAAGTGTACATTTAAGCTGGTTCACTTGCGCGTCAATGAGCCCTGCACCGTACTAAACCTCAGCGGCGTCTTCAGCTGCACGAATAAAACACCCGGCGCGTATATTACAGCGCGTCACCCGCGTCGTCATTTAAGTGACTTGTTCATAAATAAATAGTGACAAGCAAAGTGCCCATTGGTAAAAGCAATTCCTCGTTCGCGGCACGGACGCAGGTTTTCGCTTCGTGACGCCAGAGACGGCCCCCCTTTGTGGTGGGCACGAACCAGCCGCTTCCTCCCGCTGACCGGTGCCAGTACCGGGAAGCTCGGCCAGTGTCTACCCCCCCCCCCCCCGTGAGCTGCTCTACAATGGGCAGAGCGGCAAACGAGGCAAGCTGACCGTCCACACTCCGGTTACATCACAGCCGCGTGTCCCCTCCTTCTTCCCAACACGGAGGGATGTCCAGCAACGCAGATGTCATCTCGTGCGCACCCGGACACGAACCGTCCACAATTGCGACAAAATGCGGCCCAGTGAATGCGCGCGTGTTCATCGAGAGCGTTCTCGGCAAGTGAACAGATGCGTTGACTAAAAAAAACAAAACACAAATAGTCCTCCCTGCCCAAAGGAGAGTTACGCATTGTCCGCAAACAACACATTCTTAAAAATGTACAAACAAAACATACATAAGCCACATGTGTGTGTGTTACATGTCATGTGGGAATTCCTCGTCACCAAACGATGAGACGCGCAGTCTGTTTGTCACTCAGAACAAGGGGATTCACGCCCCATTGGTGGGTGGAATTGCTTTCCTCTGCTGTTGGTTGACAGTACGCATTCAATTGGGAGTTCAGAATGCGAATGGTTGCATGATAACATCACTGCTCATGTAACCCCCTGAAAATGTTTTCAAATAAAACATTTTTTTTCTCATCATTAGATTTTAAAAAAAGCTCTCAATGGGTTGTAACCCACTCTCGTGTATGAGACACGCGAGTTTTCACTGCACAACACTTCACGGCTGTGCAGAAGAGAAACACGTGAGGAGCAGAAAACACATGCACAGAGGTTGTTTCCGGACTGGAATGAGACGTCTTTATTGGTGAGCAAAGATAATTGCTCACTGACTTGGGCTCCACCACTGATAGGGGAAGTTCTCTTGCCCTGAACCTCCCAGCAAGTTTACACGGCACCAACGCAGGTGTGGACGATGGGTCACAATTGTACAGACTATGAATGTAGCTTTAACTGGAGCCCAGTGCAAGACATTGCTAAGGCAATGATATTTCTGGTCCGAAAGGATTTTGATTACATGTGCACGTATATATATGCCTAACAGCTTCATAATCAGTTGCTTCCCGTGCCAGCGCCGCCTCTCCAGTAGACCACATGGCTCACGATGCAGAACGCTGTCATTGTGTAACATCACAAACCAAGCCGAGTCATTCCGAAGTAATTTCCAAGGTATTTATATAATAAACCATAATAAAAAGTGCCTGGTACATTTAAATAAAAATTTACTTCTGTATATACAAGTGGTTAAAATAGGTATGCCTTAATGAAAAATACAGTTCGTCTACTTTTCAGTTTCTTCTACGTTGAAGTGTACATGTTTAACTTGGTGAGATCGGTAAACCAACTGTATTAAGGCCATACCTTATTTTGGCTAACCATCGAACAAACACGGTCACCGCATCGCGCGCTTCCAGATGCGCTTCTGCGGCCGCCTGCAAAGCTCTTCCTTCCGATATTAGGAAGCCACTGGAGCTATGGTGCACTCTTAAATCTCGACTGAAAACTCAATTCCTTAGAACTGCTTTTTTCGTTTAGTTTCTTGGCCTTCCCCACACCTCCGATTATCACGGTTGGCTCCGTGCGATGCGAAAGACTTTCAACATACATACAAACTCAAGAGTGGAGGTTTAGTCTCTTGCCTTATCAATGTTCCACCTCATAGCTGAAGGGGGAAAATTTAAGGAGTGAGATACTTTGGGGGGGGGGGGGGGGTGGAGGGGGGGGGGAGCAAACCTCCACGAGGAATTTGCACCAAAATCCTCTCGTCAGAGCCAGTCTGTCAAAACGTGTTACGAGTACAACCAACAAGGCTGGAGAGCTCACAAGGGTGAGTGGGGGCTCCACTGGCACACCACACCTGCACACGAGACCGCGTCTTAGTCCAACCCTCAATCCGACTCGCTGAACGAACATCACATTGAGGAACGTAACCGAACCTTCGGGACAGGGCAAGGACAACCCTGAGTGGCCAGGTGACTGTGCACTCGGACGCAGCCCACGCCTGCTGAGATTGTTGTGCCTGGGTATCCGTTGTGTGCCTGGGTGTCCATGCACATGCATATTGATACAGGCCCATGTCTACTGGTGCTTACCCACAAACACATTCGTACACGAGTAGATTAAATGTATGCAAAGTGGCCGATAATACATCATACATGATAAACAGTACTGTATATTTACTTACGTATAGCAATCAGTTATTGAGGTGAGTCCACTCCAATTCATAATTTTGGAGACCGATGTAGACAATGATACAATGAATTTTTTTGTAATTTAGTTGAAAAGTAATTTAAAATCTTGAACTGGGGATAACACGTTGACGCACAATGATCTAGTACGGTTGACGTTATGGTAGCTTTAATGTCCACTTTGGAGCAGATGGCATCTTTGGTAATTTCCTGAAAGATCGCTAGGAAGCAGTTGGGGTGGAACGGATAACGTGGAGCAGAGGCAAACCCAGAAACTTCCCAGCGGAAGGGATACGGTCCTGACAATTAAAACAGGGCCCTGCATTAACATAAAATATTTTCGCTGGTAAATATCAATAAAAAATAACTTTTTTTTTCAGGGTCTCAAGGAGGGAGGTTGGGGAGGGGGAGGATGATGATGATGGAGGGCGAAGATGCAGCAAGGTCCACTCGGTCGATATTGTCACAAGTAGCCTCACTGCCAATACAGCTCGCAGCCATTGCTGTCATAGAGCGTGGAGAGCCCTGTACCGGGTGCAAGGAAGCCGTCAGCTGACCATCAGCCTTGAGGCCTGAGGACACCTGGACACAAACCGCACACGCTTGTGGTGGGAGGTGTGTTTCTCTGCCACAAGCTTCAATAAAAAAAACTAAATATTGTGGCTTGAACGTTTTAAGAATGACTGTAAAGCCATGACGCAAATTAGAAGCAAAACAACCTTACAATTTGGCGATCAAGATAAAGTTATTAGATTGTCAACTGACTGCTGAAAACACAGCTTTCAAACCGATAAACGGTGAAGTTGATTATGTCCGAATGTGCCGCTCCTCAATGCGTGTGTGCAGAGCGTTATCTAAGGCGATGCAGCGCTGCATCTCCATGAAAATGCGTCTGCAGCCGAAGTGGAGAGCAATGCCAATTACCACTGCACTAGGACTCTTGCCAAGTGCCACACGGGTAGAGAAGAACTATGAATCTGCTGCTGGGTTTACACAGCCCCAGCAGGCGTGGGCACGACCGATACCTGGTGAGTAACACCACAGTGGGGTAGGCTCACGCACAATGCGTTGTAAATTACAATCTATGGCTTTTTTAGGAATGCACTTACAACCAGGTTGCATTTGCAGCAAGTCACGAGCTTCGTGACTGGTTGCAAATTGTTAGGCGATTGAAATTACTGCATTGAAGTGCACAGTTGTTCAATGTTGTTGATGAGAAATTAATAAACTACCTTCTCCAATGGACTGGCCCTAGCCGTATCTATACCATTCTGCAGGGGCAACACAGGGTGGCAGTGCAGTGGTAACACCTGTGCCCCAAAGCAAGAAGGACCTGGGTTCAACTCCTGGCCCTGGCACCTTTCTGCATTGAGTTGTTATGTTCTTCCCTTGGTCTGCACGGTTGTCCTCTGGGTTCTCCGGCTTCCCAATAGCGAATGGGCGCCAAGATGGCAAAGATGTTAACTACCTCGCCTGGTATACAGGAAGTCGTGGATTCGATCTCATCCCCGACGCCTGTATATTTGAGGTTTGCATGTTCTCCCCATTGTGGCGTGGATTTTTCTCCGGGTCCTCCGGAGTAGTTGGCTGACATAAATTTCCACGTGATAAGCCGCTCCAATAATCTATCATTTGTGGCCAGGTGGCTTCTGAAGAAGAGCTATATAGCTCAGTGGATAAAAAAACAAAGTTTTATAGTTTAATTAAATACATACAATGTCATTGGTGTTGGCCAAGCATCCCCATGTAGCAGAACCTTTATGAAAAATTGTCTTGGGACTCTTTCCTGGGTAAATAAGTAAGTAATGAACAACCGATTGTTCTGCATCGCTCTGACAAGTGTTTCCCGGTTGTGCAGTAAACATCCGACCTGCGCCAGATGTGCGCGCTTTGCGTCCAGGTTCTACGGCCTCTACACTGATGATGGGCGATGAGAGAGAAGCGAGAGCCACCAATGACCACTGGAGTGGACGTCCATCAGCCACATGCAAACATTCGGAAGAAGACAACGAGTCGCGCTACATATTGTCGAGTGACAAGATCCTTATAAAAGCACATGACAGAACAGAATATACGCCGTGTAGAAGACTCCACGCACAGCCTGTAAACATTTCTAGGTGCTAAAATCATTCTGCGTCGAGTGACATAACAAATCACTTTGAACAAAGACCGCAAGTTTACAAAGATACGCAAAGCACGTACTGCACGGCTAAAAAAGTACGCGAGCTGCGCGGTTAAACGCCGTTTCCGGGTTACAGTCCCGTTTGCACTCTGCACGTAAAGCGTGCGTGTTTTTGCGTGGAAATGCCAGCCGTGCTGCGTGCTTTCGTTTAAAATGTCGTGTATGAAATGACTTCTTTAATTTCTTCACCGTATGAATGAAAGTCAATATTTGAAAGTCCAGCTGTGTCCAGTTTCAGACCGGGGGCAGAGAGCAGAGCCTTCGTGGGAGAGCGAGCGAGCGAGCGGCTGCCCTGTGCAGCTCAAGCGACGACCGTGGTGGCTAGGAGATGTTAACCACCTCGCCTGGTATACAGGAGTTCATGGGTTCGATCCCAACCCTGACGCCTGTGTATTTAAAGTTTGCATTTTCTCTCCGTGGTCATGTGGATTTTTCTCCGGGCCCTCTGCGTTTTCCCCTCCACATTTAGAAACAACATGGTATTTGGCTGCTACAAATTTCCACCTGATAAGCCACTTCGTTGAGCTATCATTTCTGGTCGCTTCTGAAAAAGAGCTACTTTGCTCAGTGGGCTTTCACGAATAAAATAAAAAATAATTTAATACAAATAAAAAATAGTTTAGTTTTAAGTGCACCGTGCAGGTGTCATCAGCGACACTTTTATTCTCCGAAGGTTGGAGGATCACACAAACTCAGAAAATTCCCGACAACGTGGAGAGTCAAGGACACAAAATCCTGGCTTGGCCACGGTGTGGCAGTGGGTTAATCCCCTTCTGTGTGGGGATTGTGCATTACCGCCGCCCCCCCCACTCCCCTCGAATGCGCAGGGTCAGCCAAACATTCTCATTATAGAACCACAGAGCTTGGGAAACTGTCTGTGGTTTACCGCGCCTCCGTGAAAAAAAAAAAAACTGCGTTTGAATCCGCGATCTGCATGAATGATGCCGAATAAAAAATAAATACAAATTAAATAGAATTATTATTACACTGATCGGACATCATTCCGTGGCACTACCGCAGGAATCTTGGGGCATATTGTGTGGCGGGCGCTTGGAGGTTGCCCAACCGATGGCAACAATATCTGCGGCACCACACGGTTGACTTCCCGGGAGGAGGCTGATGAAGACATCCTTCTGCAATGCAGCATCCAGGACCCCACAGCTGCGCTTTGCGCCACCACCAAACGAAAGACGTGTCGTCGTCGTCGCTGTCACGGACGAGACCGCTCATGGCTCCAGCCCCATTGATGTCCCCTAGCCGTCTTTGTCAAAACGACGGCTGCCGACTGTGCGCTGGTTAGCCAGGGCCGGCTGACTCGGCGGTGAGGGCTTGTGCTCGGATGTGGAATCAATCGCAAGTTGTTTTTCTTCATGCTTTCTAAAGAAATGCATCTCCACGCTTCAGGACACATTTTAATTATGCAATGTGGGCGACAAGAGTATTCACAATTCAGAGTGGCGGCATCCCATCCCAAGGCCACCAAAACTTCCTCGACTTAACCCGCAGCGGCGAGCAGGCGGCGGTTTGCGTGCACACTCCAGAGCCCTGGCACATCCGTCGTGTGTCTCTCGCCACTTGTGCCCGAGGAGGATGCGGAAGGCCCCGGGGGTGCAGGGTGCCGGTCGGCAGCGGTCGCTCTTGGGGCTGCTTACTCCAGGCCGAAGGTGCTCGTCTCTTCCACGGCGGTGAGCAGCTTCTCGTAGAGCATGGCGTACGACGGGTAGGGAGGCAGATCCAAGCGGTTGAAGCACGTGTGGGCTCTGTGTGGGACAGCACGGACACGCGTGTCACGTACAACAGAAGTTAACATCGGGACAATTGGAGGCTCCGATTTTGTTTTAATCAGTGCGACAATTGTGGATGTGATGACCATCATGGCCCCATCATGTGGTCAAGCGTCAAAAGTTATATTTGCAAAGAACCAGCATATCCAGATCTATTGCTGCTTCTTCTTTAGGATGGCAAGGTGAAGTTAGCAATGATACACATATACGTGTGTGTGTGTCGAGGTTATGAAGCTGTTTAACAGCTTCTGTGAAGGTTTGGTGGACGTTGGTGATACTGCTTGTGAATTCACAGTACATGCAGTATTGGATCATGTGATCCATGCCCTGTGGATCAGGGGTGCAGGGGGCAGTGTAGGATCATGTGACCCATGGTCTGTGAATCGGCGGTGCAGGGAGCAGTGTGGGATCATGTGACCCATGGTCTGTGAATCGGTGGTGCAGGGGGGTAGTGCAGGATCATGTGACCCATGGTCTGTGAATCGGCGGTGCAGGGTGCAGTGCGGGATCATGTGACCCATGGTCTGGCCTGGCGACCGCAGCCACATTGCCGACTCTTTTCCATTTTCCATCAAATATGATGGAGGTGACCGCATCTGCCGTACCCTGGTCTGCAGAGGTTTAGGGCTGACCACTGTTTCCTGGGTTAGGGGTCGAACCCCAGCGGTTCATGTGTGGGGTCAGCGCCAGCTCCTTGTATATGATCGAGGTGTTGCGCAACAATTCCCGCCGCTCTCTGGGCGGAAACCCTAAGTTCATCATCAGCATTATGACAATCATTATGAGCCCCAATGTGAGTCAAATGAATATTTTCCAAGACCGAGGATCTTTTAAATTGCATGCCAAACATTTTGCGCATTAGGATCCTCGGAATTGAATGCTTGTTATAAATTTGTATTCTTATTATCGTGTAAAGGCCGACGGAATCATCCGTGTGGTCAATGAAGTTGGAGCAGAAACATTGACACTGATTTAAATAATTTAAATCTTCATTGTTTAAAGTTGACAGGGTCCTACTGAGAGTCAGTGCCTCTTTTTCACGGGAGACTCGCATTCCTCTGACATTGAAGATTTCAGATATACGTACATAAAAAATAATTCTTTATTTAAGTGAGCTGAAAACTAATAAAGAGTCTTGAAAACTGGAAGTACATGAAGAGTTAATGCCATTATAATCTAAGTTTATAACATATTTGTAATATTGAGTTTGTATCGATAGTATGCTAGCTAGTTAACATCTCGGTGGCTAGGAGATGTTAACTGCCTCGCCTGGTATAAAGGAGGTCGTGGGTTCGATCCCAACCCTGACGGCTGTAAATTAAGAGTTTTCATGTTCTTCCTGTGGTCGTGTGGATTTGTCTCCAGGTCCTCCGGTTTTTCCTTCCAAATTTATAAACACGCGTTTAGAGTATTTGGCTGCTATACATTTCCACACAATAAGCCACATCATTGAGCTATCATTTGTGATAGCCAAGTCGCTTCTGAAATAGAGCTATAGAGCTCAGTGGGCCTTACCTGGTAGAATAAAAAGTTTAGTTTAGTTTAAAATAAAAAAAAATGAGTTTAGTTAGTTTAGTAAAAGGAGCATATCCAATGTGTGTGAATTGGAAACACTAGCCATATTAAAAACAACTCATAAACAATGCTTACTTACGAAGCTGAAACCGAATTCAAAAACTTGACGCATGCTTGAATTAGGCACACAACACAATCCTCTCTTTATTGCAACAACCGACTTGCTTCATGTGCCAACGCTAACTGCAGGACGTACTCAACTTAAACATCATTTTATTTTTTACCAGGTAAGGCCCACTGAGCTATATAGCTATTTTTCCCGAAGCAACCTTTGCCGCAAATGATAGGTCGACAAAGTGGGCTTATCACGTGGAGAATTATAGCAGCCAAATACTCGAAACGCGTACACAGTGTCATCAAGATCATTCTGAGCCGAGCGTTTTGCTTCGTTCAGCGCACAGCGCAGCACTCAAGAACAAAAGCTCCGTCGTCTTCTGTGGTGGCCACGTGGTGATGGTGGTGGGTGATTGAGCTTCACAAAGAAAAACCCGGACGTCGCATCGCAAACACAGGGGGGAGAGGGGGTGCCCTCACTCTAACCGGCGGTCTCTCCAAACTGCGTGCTGTAGGGCCTCTTGAGCGGGCTTTTGGTGTCGTGTCATGTGACGCAGAGTGGGGCGGCTATGGATGACCTCAGCGCAGGCAGGGTGGCCCCGATAGCCCCGAGCCACTCTAAGTTTGGCGGTGCAGAGTTGGTCGTCGTGAGAATGTTGTGCTGCAACTGCACCACTTGAAAAGTTCATGGAGAGTGGCGTTAAAAGTTAACTTGAAAAGTTCATGGAGAGTGGCGTTAACTTTTAAGTGGTGCAACTGCAACGCAAAATTCTTGATGAGCAACTCGGACACTGCAGGAAAGTTTCCGTGTTGACTTGCTGCCTGCCTGAAATCAGGGACGTTTAACTAGGTGAAATTATTTTATCCAGGTGAGAATCAATCAACGAATAATTTGACGCAGAATTAGCAAACTGCGGTGTTTGAGGAATACAAGCAGGCTGTGACGCTGGCATACACTGGCCTACTCTTGAGAATGTTGCCACACTGTCTTCAATTTTCACTCTGTAGTCGACAAAGCACTTTGACAATTACCCATAGAAGCTGCAGGACAGCATCAATGATCAGTTCCCTCTTTACACAATGGGCCAGTGGCAATTGTCTTCTTCAGTTGGTTATTCAACAGCCCAACCGTAACAACTGTTTTATTGCCAGAAAGGGTAAAAGCTATTCTTATTTTTCATACTGAGAAGCATATTATTAAAACCGCTGTGTTTGCCATTCTCCCACCACTGTGCAGAATTGTGAAGTACGCGTCGGCGGCAAAAATAATCGTGAATGTGTCCCGTTCAAGTGTGCACATACGGGCAGATGTATTGCGACAATCGTTCACTTTCAGTTTTTTTCATGTTCCGATTACAGCTGTGCTCGGCTGCCGCGAGAGCCTCGACGTTGAGGTGTGGAACGCAAGAGCGGAGGGGACCACGATGTGGCATGGCACGGCGCGGGGGACCAGGAGGATCGTGCGATGCCAGAGCCGGAGGGGGCAGTGAGAACGGAGGGATCGTGGCAGAGTCGTAGGTCGCAGAGTTCACTCGCCGCCAGGGCCGGATACTCCGCAGGGCGTTGACGGGGGGCGCGACGTGAACGCTGATGCACGACCAGCACGTAACGGTGCGTGAAGGTTAACGCTGGAGCTCTGTATGCGATAGGTGGACAGTAATACCCCGGTTTACGTCGGGAATGCGTTCCGTTCCGACGACGAATATCGAAACGACGTCAATCAAAGCAATGTTTCCACATCACCAAAATACCGCACGTAAATAATATCTAGGACTCTCCAGCACAGTACACTTCTTTACGTGCGACGCAAAGCGGTTTGTGAATTGCCGATCGCTAACGGCGTTTGCTGGGCAGTGACTGCTGGGCTGGGTTCGCCAAGGGGGGTGGGGGTCGAACGCCGTGCGGTTTGGGCGACGGCGGCTCACGGAACGTGGCCTTCACCTGGGCAGCGAGGTGATCCGGCCCCACTTCTCGATGCAGAACTTGCGGGGCCCGTTGCTGCCTCGCAGCGCCGCAAACCCCTCGTACGGGATGCTCGACGTGCCCGTGACGAACTGGGGGGACGGCGCAAGGAGGGAGACACAGCGGTGATCGATCTGTCGCCACCACCACACCAGCGGCTACAATTGCTCGATTACCATTGCTACTACTACGCTTGTTTACCCATGTAAACTTCAACGAGTCACAAGACTCTTTTCTGAGAAGGTCCTGCCAAGTTTGTTGTAGGTGGGGGCGATGTTGCTGCTGTTGTGTGGAATCCCAATGGAGTCATTTGGCAGTAATGTTTCAGCCTTGGGATGTTTGGCCAATGCCAGAAACATCGCGTGTTGTTTTGAGCTTTTTAAATTGTATTTAGGCTCACACAGGTTCAACACGTGATCACCATCAGAACACACACTGTAAGAACATACCTATACACTGCAAACTCCTGATTTGATCTGAAAATTATTTTAGCTGTGATGCATACCCCACTTCACCGCAGACATGAGGAGTCCCCCTACTGTGATTTATGTGTTTTTTTGTGTCTAAAAGTTTAAGATGAAATGTGCATGAGGAGGCCGAACATCTGTGGGATATCGATGAGCCCTCTAATCCCCTTCTGCAGGGCGATGCCAATTCCCCCCCCCGAGATAAACATCATTACTCGGCCTTTCCTAAACCTATTCTGCACGAGGCAGAGATGCGGCAGTGTCGCACTCATTGTACACAAAGTGTTTGCCACAACTGAACCACAATACCTTCCTGATCTCAAGGAACACAAACCATCATGCGAACTCCGGTCATCCTCGCAGCAGGCAGCGTTTGGCTAGCCATCGAATAAAGACGGTCACCACATCGCGCGCTATCCGATGCGCTTCAGCGGCCGTCTGGAATGCTCTTCTTTCCGATATTAGGAAGCCACCGGAGCTACGCACTTTTAAATCATCTAGATTGAAAACGAATTTCTTTAAAACTTATTTTTGTTGTTAGTTTGTTGTCCTTTTCCCCGCTCCTCCGATTAGCGCGGTTGGCTACGTACTGTGCGAAAGAAGTTAAACATGCATAGTGGAAAGGGTGTCCGCCAAGTTAAAGTTCTTGTTAACAGCAAGTTTTGGTAAAAAAAAAAACAAGAACGGTGGTTTGCACAATGCGAAACACTGAACCGCAGGCCAACTCTCACCACTGGCTGCCACCTCTGTGATGGAAACCCGCGGTGCCACCCACTCGGCCGCTGCCAGTCAAAGGTGAACAAGTTGGCATTCAGAGAAATGAACGCACGTTGGTGGAAAGATGTCGACGGAAAACTTAAAAGTTTTCAGCACGAATTTCCATGATGCGTGAATGAGAAATATACAGCACGAACGGTGAGATAGGCTTACATTCTTACGTGCCATTGTTCAAACTTGTTATTTTATGGCAGTGTTATTGACGACTGTGTTGAGTTTTATTGTAGTTGTACCGAATGAATATAGGCATGTGTGCCAACGCATCTATTCAAATAAAATTGATTGATACGCTCACAAGACACAAACGGAATAGTGCACTAAATAATCCACTAATTTGCGATGTACGCAGCTTGCATGCAAATGATTCACTGTTACATTTAGACCGGCAGAACAGACAAAACAGGAGACATGGGGAAAACAACACGACAAACAATACAAACGAGATGGCAAAAACAAAACAAAGGACGACATCCAATCTCGCACTTGAAGCATGACAATTGATTGAATAGCCAGAGAGGTGAAGGGTCACATGCCTACATGTATAATACATTGCACACATGCCACGTACAGCTGATCTCGAAGAGTGCTTGCCGTGAGTGGTGATGCTGTCTCTGCTAGGAGGGCCGCTGTGAGTGTGTGTGGCGTGGTGGTGTAGCAATTAGCGCACTGCACTACGAACCCGGAAAGCCGAGTTTGATTCCCGCTCACGGCCAACACCCGGTGACGTTTATCTGAACTGGTCCTGGGCCTCCCCTAGGTCGACTCAGCCTCAAATGAGTACCTGGTGCGATGTGTAAACATCGCCACTAGGGAGACAAACGCGGCCGGGCGTGGTGTTGGTTACCCACCCCCTCGTGTGCCATGCCGGCCTTTATAGGTGCTCGCTAACAGCACTTGCCCCTACAGTCTGTTCAGGCTATACGGGGGATCTTTGTATCTGATCTTAGTGGTGGTGTGGTCTGTGCTAGGGGGCTGCTGTGTGTGTGTGGTGCTCTGCATGTTGCAACCTGCAGCAGCCTCAGCCTCTGCTCGTTGTTGAACCTCTCCACGGCCGCCCAGAACCAGCGCATGACGATGTGGCTGTCGTGGTATCCTGAGCACATCGAACGAGGCACAGGGGCACACACACACACACACATTTCATTGTCAAGGTATACTGCAAGTCAACGAGCTGTACACGGGGGAATGGAAATTGCAATCGGAACTGAGTTTTTGGTTAGGCCACGTAATTATCGGACCGGATTTGTCGTTAATATCCTCCGCCACCAAACACTGCCAAACACCGTCATGACAAGTTTTTAGTCGTACCTTTCTGGTGTCTACAAATATATAATTGATTCTTGACTAAAACAATCGCATGTAAACTTCTAAACAATAAATTAACGTAGAAATATCTCCGTTTAGAAAATCAAAATTTTCAAAGTATATTACTCCTCATGTTGTCTTTACAATACGGAGCCATTTAGACTCGAGGTGCAATTGATGACCTCTCTGCGCAAGTCGTGGTGAGGTTTCCGCACCTTCCCGTCGGCTCAAGCGAACAGAGGCCCTTGCTCATCATGCGCGCACACCCGCCAATCCCGTTGCCAAGGAGAGGTGGGGAGGGGATTCCGCGGGGTGTCACATCGCCAGCAGGTCATTCTTATCATCCCCATCGAGGCTGATCACCCAGGTCTTGAGACACGATAACGATCCTCCGCGTAGCCGTGTCAACTGCAGTGGCGAGCCACGTCATGGCTGTATTCCGAGCGGCTCAGCTTTGGCTTGAGCTGCTCAGTTGCGTTCAGGAACGCACGAGGGAGCGGCTAAGCCGTGGCCTGGCTCAGCCTCAGCCTCATGGGACCCATGCTGAGCACGGCTGGGACCAGGCTCAGAGCTTCTCAAGCTGAGCACGGTGGCTCTGAGCCAGCTCGCTTGAGGTCAGAGCCAAGCCTGAGCCGAGCCATGACTAAGAACATGGGCTTTAGAGGGCAGCTAATAATGCGGACACAACACATGAGGTCGTGCAACACTACGTTCGGCCGCCTTTGTCTTCTCCATGCTGATATTTACAAACCGCATCAGGTAGTCAAGTAAGGCTGCGTTAAAACTGTACATATCACGCAAATAATAAGAATGTCATTCATCTCAGAAAACCGATAGAGAGGGTCAATGTTTTTTTCCAGGAGGCAGCTGCATTGGGATGTTGACTAAATGGACGTTCAATGAGTGTTTTGCATGTGGGAGCAAAAGAGAGTGCCCGGAAGAAACCCCACACATACGACAGGATAACTCACAAGGTCTGCATAGGATAAGTTCACAGACACTTTTTCACGACTAACCCTCGTCACAAAAGCGCTGGATTACAGGTGTGTGACCCACTGTGTCGGGCTCCGCTAAAGTTTACGAAGGCACGTAAACCGAAGCGTTGGCAATGGGTCCGAGACGTGGCCACGTCGGCACGAATCATGTTCGACAAGCCCTGGAGCCCTGGAGCCCTGGAGCCCGCTGTGGCGGCTGCTGGCAAAGTAGGGAGGGGCCCAGGCAGTGAGGATGTTGGCACAGCCTGTGCTGTCCTGCTCTGATGTAATGTGAACAATCAGAACATGCGGTGAAAGATTAACAGCTTAGGGCCAGATTGATGATCTAACTGGCACTTCATTGTTTAATTGGGGCATTGGTGTCATATTTAATAACAATTTCATTCAACTATAAACTGGAAATAATTCTGGTGAATTCAAAGGGGAGGGGGGGTGTTGAGAGAGGTGCGTAAGTTACAATTAGAGCCTTACTTAATCTAATTTATATTTATAAAACACTTTTAATCAAGGTGCTCGGCATAGCTTACAAAAACGATGACAGAATGGAATGATGTAGTCGTCAGGGGCGTGCTACAAGAATCGAGGAATGGGTGACAGTGATGATGTTCGGAATACCGTACAGCAGGTCAAGACAAGGGTTCATGTTAAGTAAAGAGTTGAGGCTAAAGTTGCAGTTATGTCTAGGATGAAGGACAGAGTTACTTCTCGAGCTAATTGTTGGTTTCTGATGAGTGCTGGAGCTATTATTGAAGAGTATTCTCCAAGAGGAGATCGCTGCTGTGTGGTGTCGATTGTACAATGTTCCAAGACTCAGTGCTAAGAGTATCAAGGGAAGGCATTTGCCTCGAGTTGCTCTGCAGATGCCCGGGATTTTACATCGATTGGCTCTGTGACAGAAGAACGGCTCCACTCCAATTATTTAGTTACAGACCTTTTCCTCCGTAATGACTGCAATTACGTTCAAAATGCGCGCATGCCCCTACCACCAAAGTTGGAATTTTGAAACAGTAATGCTGGCTGGTAAACGTTACGGTCGAAATATGGTCACAAAATGCGGCACAGCACTCGTGGTTCAATAACCAAGTTTGGTTTTGTTTTCATTCCATTAAAATGCACTCTGAGATTATCACCCCCTTAAATATGGCATTGATGCTTGTCACCGAATATGAGCACAAGATGTGACTGTGTGGCTTAAGCCCAACAGGATGCCTGAAGAACAGTACCATTTTGAATCCAAATACAGTGCTAGAAAATTACTTTCATGGAGGTGATTTACATGAAAGCCATTTCTAAACGTGCGCGCTGCAGGCTGGCGCAGTGGCAGCAATCATTCCTCGCACAGAAAAGGACCTAGGGTCCGATTTCCGACTTGGGCGCTTTTTGATGTGGAGTTTTTATGTCATCCCTGTGTTCTGCATGGGTTTTCTCCTGGTTTCTTAGTTTTCTCCCACAGTTAAAACACACACGATGTAACTGGTATCCACACAACGTGGGGCCCTATTGCCACAGATGAAATATAATCTCCTGTCTCCCGCACCCACCACATCTTTCCTCCACCTTTCCAGTCACTCTTGGAATCCATGGATCAATCCCAACTAATCTCGTCTCCCACTCTCCCCACTCACTCCCAGGGCCAACCTCCTTACTTTGTCACCTCTAACACCAAGGCCATCACTCTCACCCCTATTTAACCCATTACATTCAGTGACCACTAACCTCGTGAATTTCTTCTCTTCCCTCCTTAGGCCACCTCCTCGCAGGTCTCTATTTGCTCCAGCAGACATCGAGCACTGCTGCCAATGATCTCTAAATCCTATCTGTCACATCCTTAGCCCTGCTGCCATTTAGACAATCATCCATCCATACTCTTTGGTTATTTCGGTAAAGTCACGTAGATGAAAAAAAACTTCAAATCTAGAATCATCCATCCCTTCATGACATCCCAACTGGCCGACTGCAACCTCCCCAAGTCGCTCACCTCCAAACTTCGGACAGTCCAGAATGCCGCTAAATACTGCTGCCATACTCCCCGCTTGCACCTGTAAATGTTACCACTTCACACCGCTACTCCGATCCCCCCCACTGGCTCCAAACCAAAGCCCTGATCGACTCCAAGACTGCCTTCACAACCTTCAAGATTGCATCACATGCCCAGCTCTCCCCTCTCGTCTCACTTTACTCCCCTCTACACCCCCCACTCTGGCAAACCAAGGCGTTGTGCTGAAGTCCCCCGGTCAGCCTTCGCTCGGTGAGAGATCACTCCTCTTCTCCTCTCGTGCCCTCATGGAGTGTAACTCCATTCCACCAGCCATCTGTGCTGTTGACTCCCTGCCCCTAGTCAAGTCCACAGCCAAAAACGAATCTTTTGCTTCATGACTGACTATCTATTTCTCTCTATAAAATAAGTAAATGCTTCCTTCCTTCAGGTTGACCACGTCCCTTGAGAAGCACTTGCATTCATACGCTATATAACTACCGACAGTGTATTGCACTGTGGGTTCATGAAAACAGCGAGCCCCATTATTTCCTCAGGATTCGAGTTTCACTTGAGGGACAGGTAGTTGTAGGGCATCCTTGCATGAAGCCTACAGACAGGCATGAAGGGAACAAACCAGTTCTAAATGGCAAGGGGGTGGCAAGATATTTAAAGCCAAAGGAGAAGATTCAGATCTCGATTAAATGTCTGAAATGCATTTCTTGTGGTGACTTACTGATCCTTATGGCGACATCAGCACATTTTTACCAAAGCACAGAAAAAAAAGAACAATTCACCGACCCGTGAATGGCATGCTGAACAGCGGAGAGTGAAACCCTCACGTGAACTCCGCATGGAACGTGCTGCCAGCGCAGTGAAACTCAAGAAGGTAAATACTACGTTTGCCGAGTTTAGTCACAAATCGCAAACCAACTACAAATCAAGGGACGGGGCAAGAGTGATGGGTAAGGCGGATTCAAGTTGGGGAGACAAGACATCCCTGGCAGTTGCCATCTTGAACAGAAACCAATTTGCACAGCTTCACATTCCTCCGCCGAGTCCCCGGGCAGCCCGGTGAAGCCCCAGGCAGTCCCCCGTGGGGCCTGCAAGGCCCGCGAGGCCCCAGGCAGGCATGCAAGGCCTGCAAAGCCTGCGAGGCCTGCGAGGCCTGCGAAGCCTGTAAGGCCTGCGAGACTGCGAGGCCTGCGAGAACTGCAAGGCATGCGAGGCCTGCAAAGCCTGCGAAACTGTGAGACTGCGAGGCCTGTGAAGACTATGAGGCCTGCAAGACTGCGAGGACCCAGGCAGGCCTGTAAGCCTGCACACACGCACGAGCGCTGCCACGTGAACGCCGAACAGGGCCGCCCCCTCTCAACGCTCCCAACAGCTTCAGTAGTAGCACAAACGTGACATTCTTCGGGGACTGTCGGAATGTGAAGAGCGTCCAGAGCATTCGGGGCCGCAGAATGTCGATGCAGAGGTCATGGGCAGCAATGGGTCGAGCAGCCGCTGTGAGAGCTAAGTCACTGCGCTCAGCGGTAGCGCGTTCGCCGCTCGTTGCAGAGTGTTTAAACATAAGTGCAGTTTAAAAGGTCGTAGAAAAGAATAGAATAGATAGAGAGGTAGTCAGTCATAGCCACAAAATATTCAGCCTGGGCTTGAACAGGGGCAGGGAGTGACAGCACAGAAGGCTGCGGTAACAGAGTGCCAGGATATGGGGAAAAGTAAGGAGAATGAGTGACCTATATGAGATCGCAACAACAGCAGTAACTTTTTCAAGTTGTGCTCACATCCTGCAAAAGTAATTGCTTTATGGGGAGATAACAATGTCTATCCTGCGCTTTCTGCATCCTATGCAGGCGAAGTCTACCGCAGTAATGTTTAGAATGTGAGCGGCAGGGTTGCGCAGTGGTAACGCCTATGGTCACAGCAGGAGGAGAAAGGGTTCGATCCCCGACTCAGGAATCTGTCTGCGTGGAATCTGTATGCTCTCCCCCTTTCTGCATGGGTTACCTCCGGGTTCTCCACTTTCCTCCCAAATACCCCAATGCAGGACCTTCATGAAAAAGAGTTCAGACTGGGCATGACCTTCCTGGGAAAAAAACTAATTATAATAATATTAATAATAAATTAATCTTGGTACAATTTTAAATTATATCCCACCGTGGTCAAATATGTGAATAATATATATGTCATAGTGGTGTGGACTAGACACACCATGTACACAAGATGGATAGTTGCTTTGGTTCAGCGACACTCCAGCAAAACATAAGTTTCATTAAACATCATCTCAACACGTAGACTGCCTTCGATTCTCCTTTGCCTATGACTGTCTCTTCTCTAAAAGTACCCCGTAAAATATATACATGGACAAAAGCACACCTGATTTGTCTCTGCGACTCTTCCGTCGTCACTATAGCATGCGGAATATTTCACGCGCGCCTGCATTTTGACACACCGTTACGTCCAAACTTGCATTGTGCGGCGTTCAGTGTGTTCGCAGGTCGTCATTACGAGGGCAGCCAAGTTTCCAGGATTGGGAGGCTCGTGATATACTCGCTTGGAACGGAGACGGTGTGCGAAGCACGGCGCACATCCGCGCGCTCGTGCATGCATTTACTCCGTGAGTCACGTGGCCGTGACCATTGACCCCCGTTCGTGTTCGGCGCGCACCCTGGCGGCACCTTTTAGTGCTCCGTTATTGCGGTGAGTGAGTCAAGCGGCGGCTTCCCCTTACGCACACAGCGCCAGTCGACACACCCCGAGGTGGCATCCTGTCACGAACTTGCCACCTTCCTGTCGCTTACGCAGGGGTGTAAACCGTGTTTGTGATGGCAATCGCAACGTGGGCGTCGGTGCTATGTGTGATGGATCGCGTGTAGGCCTTGCAAGAAGTAACACGCAGGCCAATGTTGTAAAACACTCGAATGTATACAGCCGCCCACGTTGAGTTTAGCCAAACGCACTAATTGTAAAGTATTCCCCCATTATTCGTGAGGGATACGTTCTGGAGATTCCCGTGAATAGCAATTTTTGCGGATAATGATATTGGCCTGTGAAAACCATTTCATGAATTACCTGAATACATAAATAATAAATCTCATCACTTTCTCATCACTTGATCTCATCATCACTTTATTCTCATCACATTCTTTCTCTCTCTCGATGAAATTGTGTAGAGTTCCAGATGGGATTTGCATATAGCCAAAATTGCACAGTAGCATAACAAAAAATGTTTTTGATGATGTTCAATATATTTTTTCTCATCAATGAGGCTTCAATCTCATGACGGACATTAAAGGACCAACGGCCTGACTACACGTCTTCCGTGTGTGCAACTTAATAACTTAATAATAATAATTAAATTGCTCTGCTGAATAAAGCCGCTTTGGTTTCCCCTATTTCTAAAACAATACGTAACACACTCTTTGGTTCTTTCGGTAAAGTCAAGAAAAAACTGCTGTGGTTGTCCCACCTGATGACGATTGCTTGTGTTGCGATCGAAACGTCGTGATCTATTAGTTTTCTACCTACGTGACTTTACCGAAAGAACCAAAGAGTATGGATTCCTGCAGTCACGAAAGCTTCACATCAATACGTGACACATCATTGATAATAAACAGCTTTCGAGGTGATTATTGAAGTTTCGCTCCTGTATAAAACTCAATATCCTGTGTCTGGGATGTGTGGTCACACTGAGAGAGAGGAATGCACGTCTCAGTGCCAGCAGCTGCTGCAACAACCACCACGAGCGCTCCCCATGGCACCGAACTTTTCGATGTTGACATCAAAACAGCCCACTCCACACCCGCGGTGACAAACCACGATCGTAGCTTCGCTGCGGCGAGCCTGTGGATGTCAGAAAAATCCCCACTGCCATCACCCAACACTATATGTGTACAAGCTCGGGATGTGGAATGCTGCTGTGGTGGTGCCTCCAAACAGGGCCGGCGCTCAGAGGTTGCTGAGCTGGGCCCTGCACAGAACCAAATAAGCCTCGGGCAACGCCCCATTTATCGCCGCTATTTCATCATCATTATCATCGTCGCTGGGTCGGAATCTTAGACCTCCCTCCCTGGCAAACGGAATTGTGAGCGGGATGGACCAAAGCCAAAGATCCCCCCGTATAGTCTTTCAAAGACTGTTGGGGCAAGTGCTGTTAGCGAGCATTCATGAAGGCCGTCACGGCACACGAAGGGGGTGGGTGGCCAGCACCACGCCTGACCGCCTTTGTCTCCCTAGTGGCAATGTTTACACACCGCACCAGGTACTAATTTGAGGCTGAGTCGACCTAGGGGAGGCCCGGGACCGGTTCAGATAATCGCCACCGGTGTTGGCCTTTGTGTCCTTCCCAGAGTAACTTGGCATAGGCAGCGACGACCACAGCCCGAAGAATAAAACATGTTCACTCTCCTTCGGGCTAGGCCACTGCAATGGTGGCCCCCACACAACAGCTGTGCTGCCCCCCCCCCCCCCCCCTGCGAGATAGCAGCTGGAGCCGGCACTGCCTTCAAATAATTGTTGTGGATTTAGTGGCACTTTCTTTCTGAACAGGCTGCTGTACTCTTTGTTATGCTCTATCCATGATTGCATAATGTATGTAGAGCAAGATGTTTTACCTGCAGTATATTGTGCAATTCATATCAATTACATAATAAAACCACAGACCGCAGAACATTCACTGTAGGGGGTTGGGCAATCACTGTGGAAGATACGGCACGGTGAGGTGTTGCGCCTGGTCCATCCCTGGCCTTCATTCGGTGCTCGCGAACAGCATTTGCCCCAGCTCAATGGGGTATCTTTGTCTTTGCGTGACGTGCAGCCCCCCCCCGGCCCGCTCACCGCCACGGTACTCTGTGTTGGTCCTCCAGTCCAGCAGGTCGATCTCGGCCGTGCCAGCGATCACCAGCTCCAGCTCGCGCGCGTCAAACACTGACACGAGCCGCGCGTCCACCACCTGGCACACGACACCGCCACGCCATCGTCATGGTGCGCTCACTGCCCAGGGGGCGGCGGGGGGGAACGGAGTCTGGGAGGGAAGGCAACAGGCGGGGGGGGGGGGTAGGGGGGAGGTGGATGGCCGGGTCCCCACCTCGTAGAAGCCCCGCACCAAGCTCTCGGTCTGCTGCACCACGCCGCGCTCCACGCGCCACTTGACCATGCGCTCGATGTACTCCTTCTTGTTCTTCTCGGTCACGGCCATGTGCGCTCCGCCCGGTCGCAGCTCCCTCTCCGTGATCTGCCGGCCAGCCAGACGACAGCGTGGCGTCACCGCGTCTCACCGCGCCCGGCGGCTTCACCGGCCAAACCCCCTTCTCCCCCAACCCGTCTGTTATCTCGCCACTGATGGCGGAAGGGCCTCCACTAGAGGGAGCTCTAGAGCCCCTCTCATGAAGGGTAATACACCGTGTGCCCTGCTACGCACAAGATGATATCACAGGATGTGGAATGTCCTCTTTGATATCCTCTCTACGGCAGGTTGCACACGATGAAAATTCCCCCGAGGAATGACCGACAAGGATCAGCACAGACCGTGCCCTGCCGCGTCCCATGCTCCCTCGACAGGGAAGTGAAGGGGAGTTGTGGGGGTGGCGGGGAGGTACAGCGCACCTGTCCGAACACCTCTTCATTGACGGTAAAGGTCAGGTCCAGGATGTCCGTGATGTCGTTGTCCTTCATCCACTGCAGGCTTTGGTGGAACTCCTCATCCAGGTACTCCAGGTCACTCAGATCACACGGCCTGCAGGCCACGCCACAGCACCGCGCCCCAAGGGAGTCGTGTCACTCGCCACACTCATCGCCTCTGGAGCTGCTCGTGCTCAGTAAAGGAATGCCGGTGCCACCGGTCACCGTTTGAGAGCAAAAACTGCACCATTTGTACGTATATATGCTGAACTTCTTTCGCACCGTACGTAGCCAACCGTGCTATCGGAGGTGCGGAGGAAGGACAACAAACTAAACACAAAAAGCAGTTTCAAAGAAATTAGTTTTCAATCCGGATTTAAAAGTGCATCGCTCCAGTGGCTTCCTAATGTCGGAAGAACGTTCCAAATGGCCGCAAGAAGCGCATCCGAAAGCACGCGATGCAGCGACCCTCTTTGTTGCCGCGAGAGCACAAACACACAGAGAGAGAGAGCGGCTCACGTTCTGAGAAGAGCCTTGTAGAAGGGACGTGTGAAGAAGGCGTCCAGCAGGTACTGGTGGATGAGGGCGAGGCCCAAGATCCGCCCGCTGAACCGGAACCTGGGCCACGCAGCGCAGCACACGACGACAACGCAGACGTGCGGACCGAGCGGCGGAATGAGCGCTGCTCATAGTCGAACGCACGCTCAACACGCGCTCACCGCTGGACTACTCGTGCAGTCTGCTCATTGTGGATATGAGCCCACGGCCTGAATCAGTAGGCACCAAGTGAAAACGTAAGCGTTACAATACATTCTGGTCGTAGATAAATGCCTGAGAGATGTGGCGAGGCAATGTTCGCTGCAAAATCGGATGTAATTAAGCATATGGTGTGAATGAAGAGCCTTTTAGATAAACCGTAGCTGTGGAGCCAGCTATGGTTGGTGGATTACAAAAAATATCCCCCGTGTAGCCCTATCAGACTGTTGGGGCAAGTGCTGTTAGCGAGTAGCATCTATGAGGGCCGGCACGGCACACGAGGAGTTGGGGGGCCAGCACCACGCCCGGCCGCCCGCGGCTCTCCAGAGGCGATGTTTACACACCGCACCAGGTACTCATTTGAGGCTGAGTCGACCTAAGGGAGGCCCATGGCCGGTTCAGATAATCATCAATGGTGTTGGCCGTGAGCGGGAATCGAACTCGTTTGACAAGTTCGTAGCGCGGTGCGCTAACCGCTACACTAGCGCTCCCCATTCACACACACACATGTATGTGAAACTCCCTACCCATGGACAATCAGGTTACCATCTGCTGGCATATCAGGGTATTGCAGTGCAGCAAGTGGGATATATTCCATCTGTATGGGGGCTGAGTGTTACCCCCCTGGGTAGCGTGGATTTCTCCAAGTGCTGCGGTCTCCTCCGATGTGGAGTTACTCATGAATAGAGTCGGCCAAACATCACAATAAAGGTGCGCAGAGCTTGGGCAATTGTTGGCACCAATTGTAGCTGTCTTCAAACCAGACGAGAGTTTAATTGGACAAATAAGTCGATTATTATCATACATATTATTAAGTTATTCTTATTATTCACGCTTGTCTGTGGGTTGCCACACCTCTGAATCAGTCTCTGTGCATGTCAAAAATTATAATTATACCTTGGATTATTGTATTTAAACAGACGAAAAAGTTGAAAACGCAGACAATCAGGCCAAACTGCTGATGAACTCCAACGCTGCTCAAATATAAACTTGAAGGCGGCGTGCGCATGAACCAATTGACCAACTCTGAGGCCCAGCATCTGAACGGCTAAATCACAACCGACTCTCTGAGAGTTGCCCGTCATCAGATACTGAGAGGAAGAAGAAGCAGCTGAGAGGGTAGGAACAAGGTGGAGTTGGGGAGACGGAAGCGGCCGCACCCCCGTGCCGAGCGCTCACCACTCGTGATGGTTGTCCACGAAGGCCGACATGGGGCTGATTTGCACGGTGTACGTGTCGTTGGCCGAGTACTCAAAGAGGCCGTAGTAGGGGTTGAAGAGCTCCCGCGACACCAGGAAGAAGAACTCCCGGGAGGGCCCGCTGTAGTCCAGCCTGCACGAGGGGACCCGGGAGGCACACGGAGGGAGCAGCCCATCCCAGACACCTACAGGTTACAGAGCGGCCAGGTACTCCGCACTCTGCACGCTGCCACGCACCCAATGACGCGTCGATTCAAGAAACATTTTTTCTTACAAGAATAAACTATTTTACCAAGTAACGCCCACTGAGCTAATAGCTTATTTTTCAGAAGCGACCTGGCCACAAATGATATCTCAAAAAAAGTGGCTTATCATGTGGATATATAAAGCAGACAAATACTCTAAAACGCATATTTCTAAATGTGGAGGAAAAAACCCGAAGACCCGGAGAAAAATCCATGCGACCGCATGGAGAAAAAGCAAACTCCAAATATACAGGCGTTAGGATCGGTATCGAACCCACAACCTCCAGCATACCAGGCGAGGATATTAACATCTTGCCATTGTGGTGAGATCAATTGATTTTTATGCTCACGATACTTGCATCATCGAATCGGTTTTGCTAGAATCAATTATTTGTATGTATAAGTTGTATGTAACTAATTCACAAATAAGTAAAATAAAAAACACTTTTTTTAAAACACGCTTTAATGAAATGTACCGTACGAGTGATGGCAGAATTCCACGACTCCGGGAAGTGGCCCCGAGGCTTGCCATCACATAAGGGGCCGTGGTGATTTACAGCCAACGTTAGTTGAGCATGGACAATTAGACCCAAGCCGAAACATAACATTAAAAAAAGATGGTTTAAAATTTTTATTTTTTATTTTTAATGATAGAATATAGTATTGTCATCAGTATGACATAAGTATACCAAGTTTGCAGTCGATACCACATTTTTTACAGTCATCAATAATAATTTATTCTTGATTCTTGATTCAAACTGCCACCAAGAATTGTAACGATTCATTTCTACTTGCTATTCAACCGACTCGCATGGGATGATGGCATATTGTTGATGACTTGTCCACTAAGTTCAGCGGAGAGCTACGAGTACTCCAGACGGCCACCGAGGATGCTATCGCACGGCTCGGCGATTCGGCACACGATGGACGCACGAATGCACGAGATCGATAAGCTCATTTCCTGCAAGCTTTTTACCTTTGTTTTTAATTATATTTGAATGTTTTCCATCAGTACCACGTCAAGAGACAAATGCATATCTACTTGGAACTCTGAATTAGTAGTCCAGCACGATGTGCGCGATGTGACAATGGTACCAGAAGACGACGTCACCAAACTACTTCCGCAGTCCTTTCAACGCGAGGGAGGGGAGGGAGAGGAGGGTTGTTAAAGGTGGACAGCGGTCTGCTCACCCCTCCTCGCCCACAAAGGTAACGTAGAGCTTGTTCCTCTGCAGGTCCTTGCGCGAGTGGGCCATCACCTGGTTGAAGGCGTCCTCCAGTAGATGGTCGCGCCTGATGACCAGCCTGCACAGAGGGCACGATGGCGGGGAGGGTGGGGAGGCGGTCACACAGGGATATCAGGGCCTACTAGGCCTTGATAAATGTTATCTCTCACCGCAACTCCCATTATCCATTCATAACGCAATGAATTTGAGACGGCCTACTCTGAAAAATGTTATTATGATGGGATCGTTAAACATCCACTTTGGTGACCGCACAGACTTTGGTGCCTGTTCAAATGTAACTCTAGACTCCATGTGAACTGGCTATTGGTAAATGGGTAAGTCCACAAGAATCGATGATGGTCAGACAAAACCACCTGTCCCATCCTGCACCCTTTGCTATAGGTGTCTGCAACTATTCTGAGCATGTATGTTGAACTTCTTTCGCACCGTACATAGCCAACCGTGCTAATCGGAAGTGCGAGGGAAGGACAACAAACTAAACACAAAACAATCCGTTTGGGGATGGCCATTGCCTCTGGAAATTGAACAGGCACAGCTTGCTGATGAAACCAATGATGATGAAACAAGTTCTGGGTTCATATTCTTTGGTTCTTTCGATAAAGTCAAATGAAAAAAAAAATGAAAATAACTAAATTAAATCACGACGTTTCGGAGGCAACACAAGCTTCCGTCATCAGGTGGAACAGCCACAGCAAAATTACTGTAGTGAATGAAAGAACCAAGGAGTATGGATCCTTGAAGTCACGAAAACTTCAAATCTAGAAGTTCTGGGTTGTTTGACTCGTTTAAATCGACACCATTCCACACCATTCATTTGGAAAGCCCGCAGGTTGGTGGGTTTTCACCGTTCATCCAATTTCTACGTAGCTATATGCTGTACTCCACGACGTAAGCTCATCGTCGTTTGCGAGGGCGGGCGAGCGGACGGAGAGCAGGCGGAGCGGGCGGAGGGGGGTGACCTCACTTGATCTTGCCGGGACCCTGTCCATATCCCTTGGACTCCAGCTTGCGGTAGAAGTTGCGCAGCTTCGCCTCGAAGTCTCTCTTGTAAGGGGCCGGGGCGCGGGCGTTCGCGCGCTGCGATCCTGCCGAGTGCACGCCGAGATTGCGAGATTGAAAATCGTCCGGCGGCCTGTCGGGTGCCGCAAGGGGTACTCTGCTGCTAGGGCCTGGGTGCCAAACGAGAAGTCAGTGTGCGAAGGACCAAACGCAGAAGATTCCTGGGTGTGATCTTCCACGTGCCTCATGGTCCACCCTAAACAGCATCCACTGCACCAATAAAGGCTGCAGATGCGGATACCTGATGCACCAGTGGAAAGTTAAAAACTGTCCAGTGTGCGATTGTTATCATCCAGAATAAGCTGTGCAACGTATAACGACGTAGCGCCCGATCCACAAATACGAAGGAGAGATCACAGCGATACACTCCGCTGATCCTGACGCGGTTGTCTGGCTTGACCACGTGGATGTGAAATTGTCGTTGTTGGTCTGCATCTACAGCAGCCATACGAAAGAAGAAGAAGTAGACTGTGTAATGAACAGTTTAACAAGTAGACTTTCGCGACCAAATTATAGAATAGATTAGTAAACACCCCCCTCCCCACATTTAATTTCTTTCGGCATTTGGGTTCAAAAATTACAATACCCCCGCCTCAAATCACGGCACCTGAATGGGTTAAATGATGACGTCACCCTGCTGCTGCTCTATTTAAGACCGGGAGCAAGTGGAGGGCTTTACTATTTTGGCAAATTGCCCGATGATGCTGGATGTAATTATCAGCGAAACGTCGTACTCAAAAATTGTTAATGATGTCAAATCACTCTTCAACACACCGGTGGGCTAAAGTAGTAACACATTTTTTCCTGTTTGGCAGTGTCGGGTGGTGGAGGGTTACGACACATTTATAAATAACGCGATCGAACCGACATTTTTTTTGTTATGTGCAAAGAACGCCTACGCCAAACCACCTTCATACTGGGAGTGCTGATGACACACGCAATCAAATCAGGCAGTGCATATATGCCATTCAATCCCCGGGTTATCGACGCCAGATTTAGACACAGGCATCCAATCGGTGAATATCGTGGAGAATTAAGCCCTGAGCTGGCAACGATCGTAGCACAGTGTTAAAGCTTCCATTCCATGTTTCCTTGTGTGTTTGTGCGTCTGCACATTACAATTGTGAGCGAACAGAATCGCAACATAAACAAATTATTTGGTGATGCTGCGTTGGCAACAACAACACCGTGGCCTTAAAAGGATAAACAATATTACAATATATATAACCGGCAACGTTTTGGGCAATGGACCTTCTTCATAGCCCAAAGTATAAAATAATAAGTTAAGCACACGTAAAATACAGAACTGACTGTTCTTGGCATTTCAGCGAACACAAATATGACTGGGCACACACAGGCTGGGTACACATTCTGCATCGAATGTATAGAAACACTCGACCCATGCTTTGCCCCACGTGCTGTTTGCTGTGTGTGTGGGGAGCGGTAGTGTATCGGTTAGCGCACTGCGCTACGAATTCGGTGATCCGAGTTCGATTCCCACTCACGACCAAAAACAGCGGCCTCAAATGAGTACCTGGTGCAATTTGTAAACATCGCCATTGGGGAGACAAAGGCAGCCGTGGGTGGCGTTGGCCACCCACCCGTTAAGTGTGCCGTGCCGGCCTTCGTAGGCGACCGCTAACAGCACTTGCCCCAACACAGTCTGTTAAAGGCCACACGGGGAGATGTTTGTCTTTGCTCGTGCACGAGGTGCCGTGCGCGCGGTGTGGAAGACGCGCTTGCTGCTGCGTACCGGGGGAGTTCTGCGGCGACGTCCCCGGCGAGCTGCGTGGGGACTGGGTGTAGCTGGGGTGCAGCAGGGAGTGCGGCGGGACGAACGACATGATTTCATCCTCAAAGAGGCTGCACACACAGACACACACACGGGACAATCACTCAACTGGACGTTAGTGAGCACCTATTATGGCTGGCATAGCACAAAAGGTGCTGACATAATCTTTATTTATCCTGGATGAATCCGATGAGCTATTTTTCACAGATATCCAGCACAAAATACGATATGAGTGCAAGGTCGAGAAAAAGGAAAGCAAGCTCTTAAAAATACGATATAATTACAAATTGTACAAGTAACTAAATTCCCATAATTCCCCAATCCCACATCCCACACAACCCCCAATCCCCACCACACAAATTTCTACCACACCAATTGCACCTCCGAGTTCTCAATCGAACACATTGGGTCCGATATCCACGCGTTCTTTATCAGGGTTATTATCTTAGGCTAAGGGGATCTATGGGAGGCCCTGGCCAAGTGTATAAACCAATTTAAAATAGTCTTAAGCATTGCAATGAATTTCATCTGAGATAATAGTGCACTCTGATGACTACCACACCATAAACACACACACACACAAGGAACCCCATATTTACACACGTGCAAATCAATAGCTACAGCATTCATCAGTACAATGATGTACGAGTGTATATACATCAGGCACAAACACACGGCAAATTACAACTTCCTCTTGTTCTTAAGTCAGCGGCATGTAAATAGCAGGAGACGATGAACCACCACGGAGTTATTTTTGCTGAACCACAACAAAATCTGTGGCCGGAATAGCTCCCACCGCTTGACCAAAGCAAGCTTGGCTCATGGTCAATGAGACACTCGTGTATACGCGTGACCCCGGACGGCCGTACGACGAGGCATACGGATACGCAGAAACACGAGAGCTGCAGACGCAGCGCAATTCTAACAGAGGCGTACGCAAATACACCCCAACGAATCCAGCCACCAGCACGTCAAATTCCGAAAGTATGGCTGTAATGTGATGATAAGTCTCGAATGATGAACGTAAATCCGGACTAAAAGTTGTTCAGCCTTGCTGCTTACTATTGGCCTCTGCAAGGTGGACTGCCTTCTTCAGTGGCGAAGCGGCCTGATTTCCTCGTGGACCCGAGTGATAAATGTGAAAATGGACTGAACATTGGTAGAGCGTATTGTTTAATATGATAACAATGAAATAGGTCACTTTTTTTTTAAAACACAGCCAAATCACAATAAATTGGGGCTCAGTCTCGTTGGATGTTGGAGGCTAAGCAGGTTGCAGCCTGGTTATTACTTGCATAGGAGACTGCTCGGGAAGAGCATAGAATATAATTTACTATTATTGGCTTTTGTTTTGTCCTTGTGCAACTTGTCCTTCTATGCTTAATATATACTTATTGTGAGCGACTTTCTAACCTCTTCTCTATTTTGCACTCATATCATAGTTTGTGTTGATGTAACTTGCTGACTCTGGCCCCTACTCGAGATCTGTGTAAAATAACTTCATAGCTCATCTAATTATTCCAGTATAAGTACAAATTCTGATTCTGTGTGAATAACGTTCTTCATAAATATGCTGACTCACACAAGACAAAGCAATTCTTCCAACCCGATTATTATAATGATTATTCCGCTGGTTTAGCCATGAAATCCTCACCGAGTCTCTAAACTTATTCTTCAGGAGGGTCTTGCAAAGTGTTTACAGTCGGGAGCGATGCTGTCGTGTGTGATCCCAATCGAGAAATGTGCAGGTAATCTTTCATCATTGCGATGTTTGACCAATACACTGCGTGGTTTCACCAACATAACCCTCCACCTCCCCCCATGATGCACAACACCACACGTGAACATCAGTGTGCAAGACCACGGCTATTGGGTTACTGGCCAACACAGTCACGGCTAACTTACAGCCACTGGAGACGGATGTAATGTCAACATTTTTTTAATATATATCAGGAATCTTGAATTTCAATTGATTTGTCCGAGGGTTTGGGAAAAATGTACCGACAGCAAACGTGGCCAGTCAGTTTGATGAGAGCTCACTCTCAGCCCACGGCAGATGTCGTCAAATCACGCAACGAACACCGGCAACACCGATGCAATTTCCCGGGGGTCAATATTTAGTCAGAGATAATAAATAAAAACGGCTCAAACAAAGCCTCCTGATTTAGGAGAAAGTAGTCACCTCGTTCTGCACGCTGACTATTCTACGAGTGCTGTGGCGACACGATCTGTACACCGACAAGAGAGAGGAAATGTGGCCATATTATAGCCTGTGAATCATAAGATAAATTTCCCAAATGCACCACTTACATTTTGGTGACCGAGGTCACTCGAGGCAACTGACACTCATTTTGGTTCTCTCCAAAGTTCTCACCTGGTTACACAAGCTCAAATTGAAACGTGAACAGAAACATATTGAACAGGCTGCCGTTTGAGGTGGTTTTTTTTCCAGAGCAAGGTCATTGAAGAAGAGGCATTGCTTGTGCTTGCGCAACAACTCCCAGTGCAGCGTCTCTCATTGTTTTTGAAAAAATAAGTGAAGATTTTCCGACCAGCTAGCAAGGGAATGAGCGGTATTATCCACAATGAGACTGGGCCTACGCGAGAGCAGGAAACGGCTCGTGACTGGCGCTAGGAGGTAGCGGGGTGGCTTGGGCAATGCGTGGACGCTGCTGTGCCTATGGCAGGGCAAATGAGTCCTCACCACTGACATCCTTGGTCTGGGTCCAGGGCTACCGCCTAACATCGAGCCAGGTATTCATGTGCGGTGAATGTGATAGCCTCAGCCAAGGTTTCCAATGCAGAGAAGAAAACATTCCAGATAGAAACAATCGCGAAACTACGGACGGCCCAGAGCCAACCACACGCGCTTGTTTGCGGGAAAGCAACACAGTGAAGAGGTTGTGTAAGAGGTTGTGTAAGGTGGCCCTTTGAATGAACTATTACCACTGCCGGATCTTTCAGTAAGATTTATGACAACTGTTTAAGAGGCTTTCTTGATGGGATGAGAAAGAAAATGCTTTAATTCCTTGGCAGAGTGCTGACGGAACGTGGAAAAAGGTGCGACGGTGCTGGTAGAGAAATTGTGATATTCGGTAATCGGTGATGTGATTAGCACGGTGGGCTACGTACGGTGCGAAAGAAGTTCAATGTACACACATATACATCCAAATGCAAAAGGAGTCTTGCAATCAACACTGAAATGCGCTGCAGGCCGACTGACGAGGCCTGGCAAAAGTTGAACCATTTCAATAAGCTCCTTTCTGGGCATATAAAAGAACGTGGGCGTGCACTCCACTTTGCTCTCTCCCCAACAAAAGCACTAATTGGCTGTGTCGGGTGGTGGTGGGTTTAACAACACATTTATATTTACGCGATCTAACCCCAAAAACCTCTATTATGGACTATTCAGGTAGACACAGAAGGTTAACACCAGCACAAACACATTACGGCGCAATGGAAACCTGTCTAAACCACATGTTTATAAAAACTGTTTCAATAAACTCGACAACCCTGGGGTCTTCCTAAGCTCTGATACCTACATTCCCTAATGAATGTTCTTAAGAATCAATGACCACTGGATCAGAGGTAGTGAAGGGGGTTCCATGTTTGATGGGAAGCTTCCGCCCTGCACCAGACACTCATGCCTTTTGAACGCAGGGGGGGAAGGGGTTCAACATTTAATGCTCAGCGGCATGAAGAACCGCACACGGGTTTAATGAAAAGGTTAGCAGGAATTGATTTTTTTTGTCCGCTTTTACAAACGTGGAAGGCGTGTGCCCGCTGCATCGTCACCTGTTTGAGCAGCGGTTCACGCCCGTCAAACGAATCTTCCGCGCTCCTCGCAATCCGTAACGAAGCCCAGCGCAGATGAATCGATGCAATCTTGCAACGTGAAAAGTGCCATTTAAATTGCGCCGGTGGCAGGATATGAACAGATATCACCGATTACTCGGGTAGAGCCTTCTTGCTCATACAAATGCAGGTAGTGAAACAGTGCTTGTCCATTCATCTTGTATTGGACAGGTCCCAACTCTCTAGACTCTATCTGGTTGTGGACGGTGGTAAGGTGCATCACACGCCAGTGCACAAGGCATTGCCGTGGATCCATTTGTCTGTACTCAAAGTACAGACCTCGTGTCCAACAATAATAACAAAAATATGACGGCAGCTTTGTCATCAACAATTGCCACTCTAGCACTCGTGATAAGGATGTTAGCGTGTAAACAACCGCAATGCACTGCTGTGAGCGACGTGAAATGCTCTCAAATTAAATTATAATTTTCACTGCTGGATAAAGCCTTCCCCACGACGCGCCATAGGGGCTGTGAACCATTGCTTGTTATGCGCTGGAGCGTCCCAGAGATTTGACGCAGGGAGACTTGTCTCGGAGCTGGGTGAGGGAGAGCGATGAAAATGGGGAAACAAGAGGAGCTAAGTGCAGATGAGTGGAGAGGCGAACAGAAAGAATAACACTGGAGAGGCAATGGTAAAGATATCTGAAGGCCACGCGAACAGCAAGAGATTTGAAGGAAATGAAGACGGTAACCGTGCTGGGATGAAGAAACTGGAAGGGATGAGTGGGACAACTGTGGTATAGATTTGAACTAGATGGCTTGCTATACGCCTATAGGAGATAGCGGACATCTGAAGATCAGTGCCCGAGCGCAGGGCTGTCGGGAGAGCCTTGAGGGAGGCGTTTGAAGGCGAGCGTGAGGGGAGAGCGGTGAGGGAGTGTTTTTACGGCAGGGTGTTCTGTTGAAGCACACGGCCCTGCAGAAGCCTCGGTGTGCGGAGCTGGTGAGGCAGTCCAACAAGGAGCCTCCACCGTGCTGGGGGAGGATCCGGTTGCGGAGAGAGATGTGCGCACGGGAACGCACGCACTACAGTTGTGTGCGCTTACACCCGCACGCACGCTCGCTCATCGTCCCGGCACAAGCATCGCAATCGATTTATCTGCAATAATGATGCTTGCTTTTTAAAAAAAATACATCTGTATTAAGTCTCTTGTCGACCATTCTGGCCAATAACTGCGCCGATACGAGCATGGGTATTTGGTGAGCCACGGGCTCAGTTTCACCGTTGATTGCTTTCGCTGTTGTCGAATCGTGTTACGTGTCCTGGCACAGACAGCGGGACAAGGTGGAATGATGGAGATGCTATTGCCCAGGCGGGGCATAGCAACAAAGTGGCCGGGTTGCTCCCCTGGAGACGTGCTTGCCGGAGGACATTTACGTAACAGCAACATGGCCTACATCGCTACAGCCCGAGACAAAGTGGTGAGGTGACACGCAGCTCCGGCACAATTGCCCAACCGTGAACACCTTTGTCGGTGAGAATGTGTCAAAACGTCGAACTTTGTGCTTTCTCAACACGAATGTCAAAGCAAGAGGAAAAAAGCACGCCCGTCAAACGTGGGTTATACAACACTTATATACACAGAGAGACCCCGGTTGGCACAAAGAAGGCATCATTTCGTGCGTTTGGGAATTTTCTTGAAGCCTTTGTTAATCCTTTTGGCCGCAGCCTCCGTGAGTGCAGTGGTTATAGCGAGCTCTGCCAAGGAGGAGGAGGAGCCTTTGTGCTCGTTATTCCTTGAAATGGACAAGAAAATTGGCTCCGAAGCCTTGGATTAGGTGAGTGGCACCAAGGGCATTTAATCCATTCACAGCTAGAGGGGCGCCTGCCGTGCCAATGGAGCCAGCTGGTACTGCGTTAGCACTAGCAATACTAAACATTTATTTATAATAATAACTATCATTACCTATTAACCCCGGGAAGCCACAGAGTCGAGAGAGTCTTGTTACGTTGAGACGTTTTGGCCAAAACCAGGTACAGCGTAATGTTGTCATCAGTGGAGGAAACCGCAGAAGCCAGTGGAACCCCATGCGGACTCCACTCACAAACGTGCCCGAGTCGGGACTCGAACACGGGTTTCTTTTTGCTGTTTGGGGACAGTACCCAGGCGGCTCGGTTCGTTGAGCAGAGCAAGAACCACAGCACAACCACTCCGCCCCGATGCGCACGCGTGCGTCATCGGCAGCAACGCGATGGCCAACGGAGGCGCCACCGTTTCTCCGCGCGCTTCCCACCTGAGCAGGATGACGAGGTCGGCGTCGCCCGACAGGCGCTCCAGGCCCGACGTGCCCTCGCTGCGCACGAACTGGATCTTCTCCCTGCGCGGGGGGCGGGGGGCAGAGCAATAGTGAGGAGGCGTCGCGTCGCACGCGCACAGGCACAGCACGTAGAGGAGGCAGCACCCGAATGCCGCCGCGTACAGCTCGCTCAGCGCACGCCGCGCGTCCGCCTCCGGCGGCGGCATTGCCGGGGGGGGGGGGATGGCGGAAGGCTCCACGCCACCGCAGACGCGTCTCCTCCTCGCCCGTCGCGAGCGAAGGCCGCGGACGGGCGCGTTCAACAATCGGAAGGCTTTGCCCGCGTGGACGGTCACGTGTGCGCCGGCGCGGGTCTCGGGTCGTGCTGCACGGAGTGAACCTCCCTCCCTCGCTCGGCTCGGGCTGAGTTCACGGAGAACCAGGGCAGGTTGCCCGCTCGATCGCTCGCCCGCTCGCCAGCTCTCCTTATTGGGAATATTTGTCAACTGTCCTCGGCTGCGGGTCCACGCGTTTGCAAATCCGGCGGTTGGCTGCGCGTTATACGACACAGCACACACATGGACAGCGTCTAAGAGTAAAGTACTGGAATACATATACTGTATGTGTGTATGTTCTTAGTTTAACAAAAATATATTTGAGATATAATACGGCAATATTTAAAAAAATGATGCTTAGATATTAATGAAAAGTCAATGTAGAAAAGCCAGGCAATTTGCATTTAGCTTTAGCAGGTTTCTAATACAGAGGAAAGGCTATTCCATTCATACGCATGCCTGTAAACAAATCACATCTGTGAAACTTGTATTCTATACAAGCAATTAACGATATTTTTTAAAGAGACTATTCGTATGACTGCTCAACCAGGAACACGTTTCACTTACGATCGTCTCCAGTCACGTCCCCTTTCCAGAGGCAACGCCAAGTGGTAATATCTGGCGTGCTACACGAGGCAGCGGGCAGGCGCTCGCGCTCCTCCGGCTACATCACGGCCTCCGCCGCGACCCGCGCACGTCTTCCGCGCGACCCTGGCGCACGACGTGCGAACGAGGCCAGCCCCGCCGCCGTAAACGCCACTCGTGGCCACGATCGGCGACGGGAAGGAGGCTAATTGCATCAGCGACTCCCACCGTCTGCAGCGAGCGTCAAACGCAATTAGCAGATGTGTCGCCGGGTTTAAATTCGTCACGGCGGCGCTGTTTCCGCCGTCGGGACAACGTTGGCTCTGGCACGCCACGCGGAGATATCCGATGCTTTCAAGGGGCGCGCCTGCACTGGGAAAGGGAATTAACCGTTTACTGCCCGGATTTAGACTCGGGCTCGCGTACGTCCCCCGAGCGGGAAAAGCTATGCTTTGGAATTTAATTTTTAAAAAGGCATAAATAAATAAAAATGTCATTAAAAAGGCGTACGTAATGCCAAGACGTAGAGTATACACGAACAGGCCGTGTCGTCCCCAGTGGTCAAAGCGCACGCCTGCCTCTGGAGCCCGACGACAGGGCAGCTTCGTTTATCGGAATGCCCAGCTCGGGAGGCAGTTCAAGCAGGAGACGATGGATATCAAGACCCCACAGCCGGCCAGTACATTTTTGCGGGAAATTACCGCGACGTCACTTGGTCACGCAGCACGTTGCGATATCAGTTCACGCAACTGGGTATTGCGCGCCGCTGCCAAAATACTGCCACTCCCAGTGCCGTGAATTCAAAGGAATGCGTTGAGCGAAGAGAAGTGCGGCGCCCTGAGACTCATCAGCGACGTGGCGTCCCCTTCCCTTTTGACGAGTGAATCTAAAAGCTACTCGCGCGTGCACGCATTCACATGGTGGGCCGTACACACTGGGAAAATAGCGACAGGTAGTCGCTGGTAATAGGTAATCTCAAGGGGGCCTTACAAACGTTCAGGTATAAATAATACATTAAACAGGTGCCGTTAGAGAGACGCGTCCCGCGTGTCCTTCACATACACGAGCAACGGCCATGCCCCCAGAGTAGCAATTACAATGCACAACCACTACATCTACACGGACACAAGGTTTGAAGAAAGCCACACGTGATTTATGGGATATCCATCTCAACAAGCGGTTAAATATGGTGAACGCTGTACACGTTAAAAAAAGTGTCAATGTATGTTTGGGAAGCAAATGAATTACAGAGCAACAGTTAAGTATGTATTCTTTCTCAAGTGTAAATATCAACCACCCAGTACTGTAATTATCAATGATTTGATTAGTTACAAAGAAACAGATGCTGCTGCTGCTGATGATGACAACAATAACGACGGAGCTTCTCGTGGGTATGCACACATAACCAAGTTTATGAATCAATACTTTGGTCAAAACGAATCAATGTCGAATGCACACGCCTGGACGTATACGGTTTTGTGTTCGTTATTCATGGATTGTGCACAGGCCATTAACCACTCCAGAACCCTGTGTAAGAGCAGACACGTGTCACATGGCAGGCACGACCTGGTAATTATATATATATACGTGTGTATGGTTTTGGCTGGAAGTCCTTCACACATCTTATTTGTAAAATCCCAAGACTATCCTCTTACAAGCTGTACAAGCAAACACGTGTGTGGCGTACCTCGCCCCTTCTCACCTTATTGTCTCTTGGATATTAAATTAACCAAATTAAGTGCAAAAAAAATGCACATTAACAAACATTTCAGTGGTGTTTTTTTATGTTGAGCAGACAAATTGGGAAAGATGTTGGTCGGGTGATTAGAGGTAATTACGATGAGAGAGAGAGACTGTTGTCCAAGGACGAGCACTTATCAACAGGGCATTGTGCACATGGAGAGGGAGTGGAACACAGGTGCATGTCACAATCCCGTTCGTGCAGAGCACGCGCCGTTCACAACGCCCACGTCCCCGATGCAGCAGAGGTTTTTGCCTGACAACAACAGCAGCCGCCATTCGCCACTACGTGGCGGTGATATCCCCACGGCGCTTGTGACAGCCTTGGGTCCACTTTGAGAACACGTGAAGTGTGGAAGGCTCGCCGATAGGGAGTTTATGGGACAGATCCAGGTGCCATGGGCCATGAAGATGCAATGTTCACAGTGCACTGTAGACGCAGCTCTTTATAAGCAGTCTAACCGGACAAATTCTTGATTACGGTCAATTGTGGAGGGAAATTAAGGAACCGACTGAGTTTGATCTACAATAAGTGGAACAGAATCTGGTCTTCTGGACACAATTATGAAGGCATTCATTGAGACAAAGTGGTCTCTTGTTCCCAGGGCTTTACACAACAAAAGGCAGACCAGTGATGGATTCGTAGTGCTGGCAGCTCACCCCAGTCCAGCTACAATCTTAAGTGGCATTTTTATGTGGTTTTACATAACTAAAAGCAAATAATAAAATAATTTACAGCCCTCTGTCAATCCACTCCTGGACGAAAGCATGAAGCATTTGTTTGGGGTACCACGGTGGTAAGATGTGAACTCCCTCGCTTGGTATGCAGAAGGTCATGGGCTTGATTCCAACCCTGATGTATTGCCTGTTCTCCCCGTGGTCGCGTGGATTTTTCTCCAGGTCCTCCGGTTTATTACTCCACATTTAGAAACATGCGTTTAGAGAATGTGGCTGCGATACATTTCCACGTGATAAGTTGCTTCGTTGAGCTATCATTTGTGACCAAGTCGCTTCTGAGAAAGAGCTGCGTAGGTCAGTGGGTCTTACCTGGTAAAATAAATAAAACTAATTTCCTCCTGATGACGATCGCTTTTGTTGTGATCGAAACGTCGTAGTTTTTTTATTTTCAACCCACCTACGTGACTTTACCGAAAGAGCCAAGAAATATGAATTCCTGCAGTCACGAAAGCTTTAAGTCAAGAAAAAATAATAGTTTCATTTTTTTATATATATAGTTTTACTCTGTGTGAGTGAAAGGGGGTTTGTTATTTGGCTATACTTGCCACACGAGTCAGTGCAGGTTTGCGCAAGGGATGGGTGTAGGACCGGTTCAGGTATCGCTCGCCACTGCTCATAGTCACGGCTGGGATCAGACTTCAGGTTGCTGGGTTCCCCTATTTATATAATCACAGTACTTGAGATGCATAACTGAGAGCTGTCATAGCCCAGCTGATCAGAGTATGTTGCAAATTTTCTATAAGTTAATGGGTTTAAATGGAGGTTAGAGTTGACCATAATCCCAGAAAGTAATTCAAACGAGCGACACTGGTTTTTCTCGTAAGAATGTGGGATTTGCCCCACTGGCTCAAGAAATGGTAACAGGCAAATGATATCGAACTCCCATGAGAGCAAGATGCCGCTTCGACTTGATTTATACGTGTACCAAAGTTCTTCAGTTAAACAGGCAATCAAAGCTGGCTCGATTCTATTTGCGAGAAAAGTCCAAGGCAAATGGATTACTTTCACAAAAACAAGATCCAATAGCCGTAATGGACTCATAATTGGCCACCGAAATGGTAAAGTGACCTTCATCCGAGACCCTGGTATAATGAAGCGAAACTGTTTGGGCGTGGATACGCATACCACAAAGCCTAAAGAGCATTTTACTTAAAACAATGAGTGAGGCCGGCCTGATACGCACCGTTTTGATGGCTTATTTTTCGCACCGCTATAAGCCATCAATGTGACTCCGTGACGAGTTAACGAGCGCGTGACGAGTTAACGAGCGCGTGACGCTCCACTCAGCAGGCAGCTGAGCGCTGCGCAAGCGTGAGGGGCTGTGCGGTGGCTCAACGCGGGCGGCGTGGACCAGGCCAGAGAATCTCTTGGCAGGGGACCGCCCCGTGCCGACGGGAAACCTACAGCAGAGGCCTCCGACGGGACAGGCGTCCATGAGGTCCACTGGCCAAACCCCATTTGGCGGAGCCAGGCAAATTGCATCCTCCCCTCTTATTTCGTATGGCTTTTTTGGGGGATTGCAACAGATTACAAATTGATGTCGAGATTTGATATCCATTCGACTGCTCTGGGAGTAGCCATGCGGATTTGTTTCAGATCGCCGTTGAATGATCTCATTGGGCAGTCATTTCACGAACCTCCCCTCAAAGACGCCCCCCAGAAATAACGTCAACTGCTTAGACTGGCCACGTGGAATGTCCAGGCACTTGCCAGGGAGGAAGGCCGACACTCCTCAGTATAAAGCTGGACCTTTTCCACCCAGACTTCTGTAGGATGCAGAAGGCCCCGGTTGAAGTGTCATTAGGAAGTTTTGACAATTCTCTGCTTAAGTGAAGGATAGCTTCAGGCAACAGGAAGTGGCACTTCTTATATAAGACAGTGCGATTGGAGACACTAGGAGGAGTCCCGGCTGTTATGGGCTTGCTGTCCCATCAATAGGAAGCGATGAATGGTGGTAGTAGTGGTTGCATCTGCTCCCACTGAATCCATGTCTGATGAGCCAGAAGACTTCTATGACCTTTCCCAGGTGAGGGCTACAGTTACCCACTGGAACAGTAATCCTATTGGGTGACTTCACTGCCAGAAAGTTAACATCAGGGGGAGAAGCGATTGGACGGTATTAGCCAGATCAGCTCAATACAGTACTGTAATAATTTAGGCAGCCGAGGAATTTATGTGCAGCCCATGGGATCGCAGTTACCAGCATACTGGGCCGACACAGGTGTGACGTGGTGCACGTTGGGTTCACTGACCAACACCAGCGGCCTGCTGGACTATGCAGTGGCTGGTCAGTACATGTGAGACCAGAGCCGTGACCCCAAAGTCTGCTTGAGCGTGATCTGCTTGCCATCATATGAAGAGATGTATTCTTTCCATTTGGGATTGAGCACAACAACGTTAGCGTGCTCTCTGGTAGCTGTTAAAGTTTGCGAGCGAGAATGTGTTAAATGTCTGCAGCTGGTCCTCACATCTGCCTTCCGTTGAGGTTTAAGACTGTATGTATGTTGAACTTCTTTCGCGCCGTACATAGCCAACCGTACGAATCGGAAGTGCGGGAGAAAGACAATAAACTAAACACAAAAAGCAAAACTGTGGCGAATATAGCATTCAACATTTGCAAAAAGTAACCACACAAGGTGAGTGGCTGGCTGATGTGCCCTTTGCCAAAGTCTGGAGACTCACGGAGTCTCAAGACTTTTTCAGGAGGGTCGGTTTAAGTCCCTGCAAACGTGGCGACGATTGCTTGTTTATACCCCAATTCGGTAATTTGCGGGTAATTTTTCAAATTTGGCAAATGTTTTGGAACATAACACCAGCGCACAATGGTCTACTCTTCCTCGAATGAGATCACGGGATATTTAAACCTCCGCTGTGAATCAGACGGAACATATTCTGTGGTTAAGAACGCTCACGATAATAACTGGAGCACCCTGCCTGATGTCAACTCCGCAAATCTCAGCAACAGGCAGGCGAACGGGCCACGCCACGACGCAAAAGCGTGCGGCTGCTTCGGCAGCAGCGGCGTGAGGAGGGTGGCAAGGGGCGTGGGGAAGGGGTGGTCACCTGAGAGAGGGGTGTCTGCTGAGACCCGGCTGCCTCTCTTGGAGAATCTCAAACGCGTTGGGTTGCCGGAGAAATGCGACAATTTTGTCGTTGTATGCTGGAACGACAGAAGCCACAATGGCAGCGGAACGTACAATTAATTTCCGCTTGCACCATGCATGAGGGTGGCATGGCCGTCACGGAGTGCCGTCCGCAGTGCCAACGAGCGCCGAGAACGGCCCTGCCGCCCGTTGGTCGTCTCGTCACTCCGACACGCACACAATTGCCCGTACACGCAGCAAGTTACACACGCAAAGACAGCCACACACACACACGGCCACTCACACACACAGTGACTCACACACGCAGACAAAGCCACTCGCTCACACACACAGCCACTCACACACACAGTGACACACACGCAGACAAAGCCACTCACTCACACACACACAGCCACTCACACACGCAAACAGTTACTCACTCACACACACAGCCAATCAAACACACACAGAGCCACACACATACAGTGACACACACGCAAACACAGCCACTCACTCACACACAGCTATTCACACATGTACAAACAACCACTCACTCACACAACAACTGCCATCAACAATCACTCACACACAGCCACTCCCACACACAGTGACTCCGTACCTCCGATTAGCATGGTTGACCACGTACTGATGTGAAAGAAGTTCAACATATGTACAAACACAGCCACTCACTAAATTGAACTATTTTATTTTACCAGGTAAGTCCCACTGAGCTATATAGCTGTTTTTCAGAAGCGACCTACAAATGATTGCGCAACGAAGTGGCTTATCACGTGGAAATTTATAGCAGCAAAATACTCTGAACACGTTTCCAAATGTGGAGGGAAACTCAGAGGACCTGGAGAAAATTGCACGCGACCACGGGGAGAACATACAAACTCCAAACAAACGGGCGTCAGTCGGGATCGAACCCACGACCTCCTGCATAACAGGCGAGGTAGTTAACATCTCCTAGCCACCAAGGTAATTAACATCTTGCCGCAGCCACACACACGCACAGACAGCCACTCACTCACAACACGGCCACTCACACACGCACACATCTGTGCACAGAGTTATGCGAGGTAGCATGTGGTCCTTTCCAAGGACACAGAAGAAGTGGCAAACAGCTCATTCATTAATTCATTCTAGATTTGTATTCAATTAAGTCTCTATTTCAATTGGTGAAATGTAATTTTTTTTTCCAAGAGACCTCAGTAACGTAGTTACGTAAAAATCATTGATTTGTGGGCAACTTAAAAATTGGTATCACATGCTACGACATCACATAAGGGCACTTTGGTAATCAATTCATTGGAATAATGAATTCATAACTTAATTTATTCACAGATCAGCACATCGAACACTCAGTTTTAAAATTATTTACTCTCAGACATTCTTAAGATTAGAAACTGCATAATACTTCTACTTGCAAAAGACAAAATAACAATACTAACGATTTTAACTTCCCCGGTAAAGTAAAAGAGCCATGCACTCACAATAATAAAAAAAATGTCCTCACCATTAATCACAACAACCTTAGTTATATTTTTTACTCACACAGCAAGCATCATTCGTGCGGGGAAGGCAACCCAAACCACCGCCGCTGCCAACAATTCCCAAGCTTCTGTGGTCCTATGTGAAGGAGGGCATTTCACTCCAAAAAACCAAACCCGCTGAAAAAAGGGGACGAACCGATGGGCATGGAGTCGTGGTAGGGGTAGCGGCCGCCCACGCTGAGGGTGTTGGCGGGGCGCGGTGTGACGGGCGGCCCGTGGTGCCTCTGATCGTCGCCGACCTGCACGGGAGAGACGAGCGATGAGGGACGCCATCAAGGAGCGGCCCACACCCAGCGGAGCCCAAGACGTCGTCCACGAGCACTCCGATGCGATGGACGACGATGGAAGACCACCGCCGCACGCACGTTACAATACGACATTTCACATTAATGGAGATAGAAATATACAAGGTTTTTTTTTCCCCCTCTACGTTCTAAAATGAATGTGAGACGCAGGTTTTGGATCAAAGGTAAATAGAGGACGAGGGTAGGGTAGTTGACCAATAAGAGAAGAGGAATACAGTGCAGTACGAATGGCATAAATACAATGGAGATGGTGAGTTATAGCAGGAGAAATAATAATTATCCGCAACAACCGCTCTTAGTCTCAAGACTCGTTTTTTGGGAAGGTCCTGCATTGGGATACTCGATCAATTCCACTCTTGAGTGTTTGGCAACCTGGAGTAAAGATAAAACCCACGTATACAAAGAGATAACACTCCAAGCTCCACCCAGATGGAATTAGAAATCGAATGCTACGTTGCGATCACCTGAACACGATACCCAACAGACCCATGCGGTTTCCCACACAAGCACTAAGTTCCCGAGTCCACGCGGACCTTGAGGTCGTCCCACCACTTGCCACCGCCGCTAGGACGCCCTCTGGCCTGTCCCGCGGGCCACAGCCTCGAAGTCCCGGCCCCAGGCGTGGCATATTGGGGGGGGGGGGAGGCAGAGGAGGGCCGTCCACTCACCTCGCTGGCACTGTGGCTGCGCTGGCGCTGCAGGTGGCGGCGGTGAGCGATAGGCCCCGGGGGGCGGGCGCTCTGCACGGGGAGCCGCGGGTCGATGAAGGTGGTGGTGCGCGCATTGTGGTCGACGAAGAACGGCTGCACCAAACACGACAAGACGCCACGGGGAAATTCTGGGATCGGCAGCCCCGCGTCTGGACCGGTGGCAGTGCCGCGTCAGGTTACACTGAACTCGCGTCACGAGCGCGCGAGGAAGGGTGGACGACACCGCTCTGGACGTGTTTGGTGGAACAGCGCCAGAAGCGTTATGCCGCCGGTGCGCTGAGAGCACGAGACGGGTGTGTCTGGTGTCGCGACAGTAGCGGTGGTGTTGTTGTCCGTTCATTTTTTGTTGTCAATTATACCACAAAAGTAACGATGAACATTAAGGCAAATGCTTTGGTTCTTTCGGTAAAGTCACGTAGGTATAAAATAAAATAAATTAAATCACGACTTCAGCAATTGTTTCTTGCTGTGGTTGTCCCACCTGATGACGGACGCTTGTGTTGTGTTCGAAATGTCGGCGTGATTTAATTCATTTCATTTTCTACCTACGTGACTTTACCGAAAGAACCAAAGAGTATGGATCCCTGCAGTCACGACAACTTCAAATCTAGATTATTAAGGCAAACTGCAAAGCATCTTCTGTCCTAAGCCCTGAACACCCATTGACAGAATATTACAAAGTCGCAGTCGAATATGATCCTTTGTAGGTTTTTTCAAAACATGCTTAAATGGGTTTTTCACCAAAACCTTTGTACCGAGCTCTTTAACTTTGCAGATGTGCGAGAATACCTACAGAGCTATTTGAAGCAAAATCAACAGAATGACTGATATTTGTTCACAGCTGCAGGCGACAAGGTTCCAATGATAAATCCTCCGCACTTGAGAACCCAATCGAAATCCCGAGATGACAATCAAAGGCCTCGGCAGAGCTGAATCAATGCCCTGGTGGCACCACACTGACACCAGGAGGAGCGCTTGTAGCCCCAACGACACACACACACACACACCAGTCAAACGCTTTTGCAGTAAATACACAAAGGGTTTGTTTGGTTGCTAAAATAATAAATAGCATTTAGGTCAATCGTCCGTGAGGGTAAACGTCTTCCTGAGACATCTGCTTAAACAGGCAAATCCTTGTCTTTCTGAATCTCACCAGCATGCGAAACAAAACTGGCATCAATAACTTTTTTTTCCTTTTTTCTCACTGGTGCTTTGAGTTGCAGATTTATGCCAAAAAAGGTGCCAAGTATGTAAGCAAAAAATTATTTGACTTTTATAACCACAATACGCCACGGTGATTTTCTATAACTCACGTGATTAATATAACAATAACGCATTGACTGTCGCTCTCATTAATATAGAACAGAGTTATTACAATTTAAAATAAAGCAAAGATGTTTTTTTCATCCAGAGGGATAGATTATACCGATAATATTGTTAATGGTATAAGATATAACCCTGTATATCAATGGCTTTATTTTGCAAAACAGCCAGCACAAACTCATTAACTAAGTGTTAAATTCCAGTTGCACGTGAAGAAGAGAATTAAGATGGATGGCATTTTAGTGTGAAAAACACACTCCCACTGCGAAAGTGTAAAAGCACACACACACGCCGGCTCTCAGGGCCGCCCAGGGGAGCCGTAGGTGAGAGTGGTAAACAAGTCACATGATCCTGGCTCTCTTGGCAGTTTTTCTCGCTGCGATCGCCAAAGGCACGCACGCGAATGGTTTTGAACGTTGAAAAAAAAATAACAGATTTTGAGCGTTGCGCACGGAATCAACAACATGTGGCCAATCTGCGGACGATGTGAGATTATCAATGTAGAGTTACGGTCTGTACTTCAAACGAATGCCTATTTTACTGGCTACAAAAAACACCTGTGTGCAACAGGGACGGAAACTCAACTGAAATTCCACGAAAGGCAAAAGACTGAGAAGTTTGGGATCACAGTGGTGTGAGAGCGACCTCTGTTGGCCAAGTTACGTATCCCATTTTAGGACCATCGCGAGCCCTTGAGAGATGGGAATATATATTCTTAGGTTTTTTCGGTAAAGTCACGTAGGTAAAAAAATTTAAATTAATAAAAGTAGAATAAAAATAAAATAAATTATTTTATTATATTATTTTATTTTTATTTTACTAATTTTAAAATGTTTTACCTACGTGACTTTACCGAATAAAAACCTAAGAATATGAATCCTTGCAGTCACGAAAGCTTCAAATCTAGATGGGAATATCTAATACGGGGGTGCATCAGGGTCAACTTCATCGTGACCTGCAGGACAGTGCGGGCACTGGAAGGACAGATGCCTCGAGGGGCTGGCACCTTGCTGATCTCGTCAAGGAGCATAAACCAGAGCGCGAATTCCGGCCATGCTCGCAGTAGCTTTCAGCTGCTCGTCGAACAAAGATGGTCACTGCATCATGTGCTTTCAGATGCCCTTCTGCGGCCGCCTGGAACACTCTTCCTTCTGATATTAGGAAGCCACCGGAGCGATGCACTTTTAAATTTCGATTAAAAACGAATTTCTTTCAAACCGATTTTTGTGTTTAGTTTGTTGTCCTTCCCGGGCACCTCCGATTAGCGTGGTTGGCTGCATAGGGAGTGAAAGAAGTTCAACACACATGCGTACATATCCACGTCGGAACGCTCACCAACATCGAGATCCTGCACTTGAGCCCTGGATTCCCAAACCAGGGTAAACCAAGTTACCAAAATCTGAACCGAACCATCAAATACCGTAATAAGACTAAGAGAATACGGGAAAATAACTTCGTTTTGCTCTACATTAATTGGCAGACAGATGCGCAGTGAACGAGTCTCCTGCTCTCAGCACAGCTGAGAGTGCAGTCTTATGGTTCTACCCAGAGGACATGGAAGGAAACTGGGATAAATGACAATGATAAAACTTTCAGTTGATTTTCAAGGCCGTGACTTGTGGGGCTGTGCTAGGGTATTCAGATGTTAAGATACCTCAAGCGATAATAAACAGATGGATTATGAGCGGTTAACAAAACCGAAGATCTTTTAAAAACTCATTCTACACACATTCGTCACTGAGACACGTGACCAGCATGCCATCGATTTGTGCATAGAATCGTTTCAGAAACTGAACAGGGTGTTCGTCGTGTTTCTTGATGTGAGCGCTCGGAGACCGCTCACGGCCAACACCAGTGACAACTATTCTGAACCGCTCCTGGGCCTCTCCCAGGTCTACTCAGTCTCAAATGAGTACCCGGTGCGGTGTGTAAACATCACCACTGGGGAGACAAAGGCGGTCGGGCATGGTGGTGATCACCCACCTCATCGTGTACCATGCAGGTCTTCATAGGTGGTGCTCGCTAACAGCACTTGTCCCAACAATCTGTGAAAGCTATACGGGGGATCCTTGTCTGTCTGTGTGCTGGTGTGTAGAGTGCTTTGGGGCCTTACCTTACCCTGGTGGTCGTACTTCATCTCCCATCCACGCGGCAGCTCCAGCTGTTTGTTGGAGAAGGTGTTGAGGAAGGCCACCAGGTCCCGGTTGTGTTGGTAGCGCTCAAAGTTGTGCGAGTCGCGCCGCACTTTGCTGATCATGTGCTTCAGGCAGGTGCTGTTAGCAAACAGGTGGTAGGCACTCTGCCAACACACACACAGAGAAGACACAAAGATTCCCTGTACAGCTATGCCAATGGTTGGGGGAAAGTGTGAAGCAAGCATCTATGAAGGTTGGAATGATGCATGAAGGGCTGGTGTTGCCAACACCATGCAGGGCCATTTTTGCCTCGCCAGTGATAATTTCTACACACTACGCCAGGTTCTCATTTGAGGCTGACTTGACCGAGGGGGGCCCAAGACAAGTTGGGATACCACTTGCTACTGAAGGCTTGTATTGCAGTCTGCAAACTGCCATGCCACCACCACTCCCCCCACACAAAGACATACACAGTAAACTCCAGACAAGACAGCTGGCATTCATCACACAATGGTTGTGATGTCACCAAGGTGTTCGTGTCAGATTTTGCGAGGTGTGAGGCCACGTAAATACTTTCAGAAAAGAAGCCAAGCAACAGAGCCAGATGTTACAGTTTGGCAAGTTTCACCAAAAGGTGTTCAATTCACCTACTTGGCTGTGTTTGATCCGCCCGTTGTTCTGCTCCATTTATTTGATCTGCTACTTCTATTTATTCCAGTACCCTTTCTGGCTTGCCCAAAATTCCGGCTTGGTTTTGAGTTGGCTCCCGAGAGGTTTTGACTGCATTTGCAAGATGCTCGTGACATGAATGCAGCTTCCATCCACGGGCAAGGGGCAGCCTCGCAAGTGGGTCACGGAAACGCGCTCCCCCCCCCGCTGCTGAACGCGAAGACGCGAAGATCGTCAACATCCAGCAGCTCCCCCCCCGAAAAGCCCGATGGAGGAACCGCACGGAACCGCAGAGGCGTCACGACGGGCAAGCTCCGTGGCGCAGGGCACGCCAGGTGACGACGCGTCACGCGCGCTGTCGTGCGGTGGTGGTGGTGGTGGTGACCGGCGTTGTGGGGCACTGCCGCTGTGCGCTCACGGGGTTGGAGTGGAGCAGCGTGAAGAAGTCCGGGCAAGAGAGGAACTTGACGGCAGGCGACTGCAGCAAGAGGCTCATCCTCGTGTGCATCATGTGGTGTCCGGCAGGCGCAGAGTCCCGCCGCTGCTGATCTGCGCTCACACACACAAGCGCACACGCACGCGCATTCACACGTGCACACATGCACAACAACAGCCGCTGTTCGCCAACTAAATGGCGGTGATGTCAGCATGGCAATTGTGCCAAGCTAGGTGCACTCCAAGGCCACGTGAAGTGTGGAAGGCTCGCTGAAGGGGAGCTCACGGGCCAGACCCAGGTGCCATGGATTGACTGAGATGACTGGCTATGTAGCTCTTTTTCAGAAGGGACCAGGCCACAAATGATTGCCCAACGAAGTGGCTTATCATGTGGAAATTTATAGCAGCCAAATACTCCAAACGCCTGTTTCTAAATGCGGAGGGGAAAAACTAGAGGGCCCAGAGAAAAATCCACGCGACCACGGGGAGAGAGACATGCAAACTCCAAATATACAGCAGGCGCCAGGTTCGGGATCGAACCTACGACCTCCTGTATACCAGGCGAAGTAGTTAACATCTCACCACCGTGGCGCCCAAGGGCACACGCATTCACTGAAACGCATACATGGAATTGTTCTAGTCTCATGGGAGAAATTTCAGCTGCGGAACGTGGGGCTCTGCCTCCGGCGCAGAACGGCCTCCTCATGCGAGTGCCGCCAGAGAACTTTGCGATCGTTCGCATCCCGGCCCGGCGCTGAGTGTCGGAGGAGAGGAGGCACCGCTGATGGGAGGGGCTGCGTCCGGCTCCTCTTCCTCGCCGGGCCCCGGGGCCCCGTCGCTGCTGGCTCCGCCCACCGCTCCACCCTCCTCCTCCGCCGCCGAGCGGTCGCTGGTCATGGTGCGACGCACACTCTGGTACCTTCACAGCGGAGACATCGGCAGGGAGACCGTCACGTGTGGCCTTCAACGTGCGGTTGGGGTGAGGCCATCCTGCAACTGATACTCCCTGCACCCCCCCCGTCTTCTCAGCTATGGACAGACCAGGCCTAGCCCAACCCCTATCACTACCCCAAACTCTATCACTACCCCAACCCCTATCACTACCCCAACCCCCATCACTACCCCAACCCCTACCACTACCCCAACCCCTATCACTACCCTTATCAATACCCCAACCCCCATCACTACCCCAACTAATATCACTATCCCAAACCTTATCACTACCCCAACCCCTATCATTACCCCTATCCCTAAAAACTACCCTAACCCTATTACTACCCCTACCACTACCCCATGACCCTACCCCAACCCCCTCCTTAAATCCTCCCACCTATTCTCCTGTCACCATAACTACACCAGCACTTTTAATAACAACCCACTACTCTTTAATATCTCAACCATTATCATCTAACGTACAATTTGATAATTGTTGTAAAGCAACTTGGAATAATGCGCAATACGAATCTACATAAGATAAGAAGTCATGACCGGCACGGCGCACGAGGGGGTGGCTTGCCAGCATCGTGCCCGGCCACCTTTGTCTCTCTATATGCTGATGTTTACACACCATGCCAAGTACTCGTTTAAGGCGGAGCTAACCGAGGCATAATTTTTCTCACGTGCTACTAGCTCATTTTGCGAATGTGAATGCACCCGTGCATGTGAGTGTGTGTGTATGTGTGTGGTAGTGTAGCGGTGAGCGCGCCATGCTACGAACCCGGCGACCCGAGATCAATTTCTGCTCATGGCCACGAACACAGGTGACGATTATCTGAACTGCTCCTGGGCCTCCTCCCCAATCGAATCAACCTCAAATGAGTACCTGGTGTGGTGTGTAAACATCGCCACTGGGGAAACAAAGGTGGCTGGGCGCAGTGCTGGCCACCCACCCACTCGTGTACCATACCGGCCTTCATAGGTGCTCGCTAACAGCACTTGCCCCAACAGTCCGTTAAAGGCTATATGGGAGGAATCTTTGTTGTGTGTGTGCGCGCGTGCGTCTGCGCAGTGTACCGTCGGTTGAGCTGCTCCATCTGCTGCACGGCGTGGATGGAGTTGGATCGCTGTAGGACCTGCGGGGAGGAGGAAGCCGTGGGCCGCTGCCAGGTGGTCATGCGGTTCACGTGGTCCACGTAGAAGACACGGCCGTGGCTGTCGATGCGGGCCTCCCAGTCTACGGGGCGTGGCAGAGAGCGTACACGCGGGCGTCACACGTCAAGGGCGCTCGCTTGTGAGGAGCCCTCCACCACCCAACGGGAGTTCGACGGATTATCTTAATTTGATTCGGGAAACGACCAACACCTTTCGTAGTAAGTTTTCACTGTCTCATTCCCACTGCCTGTCTAACTTGTTGCTTGTTATAATAATAGTAAGAATGCGTTAGTTCATATATAGAGAGAGCGTCGTCGTTCATGCAATTTGCAGATAACAGTCACTGGGGAATCACAGATGAGCTGGAAGGTAGCAGCAGCCAGGCGGCAAGGTGGCCCCAACAATTGCCCAAGCTCTACTGTCCTCGATATATGAAGATGTTTCCATCCAATTGGTGAGTACTTTATTCATTTGAATTAACCTAAAGGATTTTTTTAAAATATAATTTTAAAAATCTTAAATAATGAATGCTTACGTGCTACTTTAAATGGCTGTATCGTGGACGTAAACATCTCTTTAATTTAACGAAACAACTAGTCACGACATGTCAGAGTCAAACGTTCGCCACAAATGATAGCCCAACAAAGGAAATGTCTAGCAGTCAAATACTCTAAACGTACGTTTCTAAATGTGGAGAGAAAAACCGGAGGGCCCAGAGAAAAATCCACGCGACCACGGAGGGAGAGAGAGACACACTCACTCCAAATATACAGACATCAGGGTCAGGATTGAACCCACGACCTCCTGTATACCAGGCGAAGAAGTGAACATCTCGCCACCTTGGCGCCCTAATATCTGTGTTGTATTTTTATGTATCAATGAACAAGCGTCGCATGTGTTTTCTGATTGATGTAGGTCCCCGTTTAAAAAACTTTACATTTTTGAACCACCAACCTTGGGTAATTTCTACATCCACCATCATCATCACCCCGCCTCCCCCCACTTCATTAGAGATGCATATTTGGATATACTGTACTCACGTAAAATACTGAATATATTTTTTAAAATACTCGGCTGAATCTAAGATTAAACAAATTCTGAGTGCAACGCAATTATCAATGAATATTCTTTGAACGTAAGGGATATCTCAAAGGCTGTATTTCAACTGTGCTTGTTTACATGCGATTTGAATAAAGTGCCAGCAGCTGGCATGGTTGCACATGCTTGGCTAGAGGCTGGGAGCTGATTAGGGTGGCTATATTATTCCTCTTATCAGCAGCTCACTGCCAGGCCAGTTTGCAGACTCAGTAGTTGCATATCTGCCGCTGCTGCTGTTGCTGCTGTTGCTGCCACTGCTGCTGTTGTTGCTGCGCATAAAATCCGCAAACAACTGACAAAGCACGCAGCTGATATTGCCGACACGGTGAAGTCACCTGCCAGAGTTAGGCCCCCCTGCCCGTAGCATGAACATAAAAAATTTGGCTGCAAATAAATTCTCAATAAATGAGACACCTCCACGTCTGCCCCCGATTGGCTCAGTCTCAAATGGGTTCTCACCTTTTAATTAAACTAAAAGAACTGCCACCCCCCCCCCCCTCTATACCACGGGCCACAATTAGCACCGTCCTTTGCTCGAGAGACGACGGGTGGTACCTAAGCAACAGAAGTATGTGACTGTACAGCAAACAGCAGGCAAAGGATAGGAAGCAATCGATGGAAGCTGTAGAGATTCTATCCAAAACCGTAATTATAATATTAAAATACATCCCCCCCCAATATTCAAATATGCTCAAAATATCCCTCCCAATATATTGCCATAAAATAGATTTCTGTTCATATGATTGTGGTTATTGTTGTACTTTATTAATCCCTAATCTCTGCCATTACATACAATGAAACAAGAAAAGGTAAAAAAGAAAAAAACAGAGCAATGTAATACAATAAACTATTAGACATTATTGTAAAAAATAAGTAAAAAGTCCATCGTTTGTGTTAGTGAATTTTTAAAATATGGGGGGGGGGGGGGACCCCCAGACCCTCTGTAAGATTTGGTCCCCCCCAATGTTGACTCCATGGCTACGGCCTTGATTCTATCCACTATGCGCCTTGGCCACGAGGAGGCTGCTTGGGGGCCAATCCACTTGTTCCATCGGTTGTCAGACCAGCAAACGATGGCATGTCATTTTTGTGACCTATTCACTAGCAATCTTACCTTACTTACATTTATACAGCGCCTTCGCCAAGACGCTGAACGAAGAATTAACTGCTGTTTGTACGGCAGAATAGTGTGATGAAACGAATATAATGATGCGTGAAATCAACGATGATGAGAGTGACAGTGAGCGGTTAATGACGAGCGAGTGTGATGGATGGGTAGGAAAGTTTGGAAAAGAGGGACGTAGTTATTGATGGGCAAGGGAGGGGGAGGAGGAGTTGGCGTGAGCGAGGGAAAGTAGGTGAGCTTTAAGGAAAGAACGAAAAATGTTCAGTGCGGGTGATTGTTTGATGCGTAGCTATTATTAGCTATATTTTAGTTTACCAGGTAAGCCCCACTGAGCTATATAGCTCTTTATCAGAAGTGACCTGGCCACAGATAATTGCCCAACGAAGTGGCTTTTCACGTGGAAATTTATAGCAGCTAAATACTCTAAATGCATGTTTCTAAATGGAGGGAAAAACCAGAGGACCCGGAGAAAAATCTACACCACCACAGGGAGAACATGCCAACTCCAAATATACAGCAGGCGTTAAAGGGTTGGGATCGAACCCACAAACCTCCTGAATACCAGGCGAGGTAGTTAACATCTCGCCACCGTGGCGCCCCCCACAGTGGCAGCTTGTTACAGTGTAGCGGGGCCAGAAACGAGAAAGAACGGAATCGTGATTGAGCACACGGAGAGGGGGGGGGAGGTAATGATTAAGCAGCAACTTCCTCAGTGGTATCCTCCCGTTTGGTAACTGCTGGCGTGAAAGCGCACTCCTCTTCACACACGTCCACATCTCGGCTCTTTCCTGACTTCGAATCTCGACGCTCCACCATAGTCACAAGCAAAGGGTGTTGTTGTTGTTGTTTGTACTTTACTCAGAAGTGGGCTGCCTCAAGAAATTACGATGTAAATGTTCTCAAAGCTAACTGTACCGTGAATCTAAAACTAAAATCACGTGGGCATTGTGATGTGACTGGCCTCTTATCCAGCCGGTATATAATACGTGGTTAATGATAAGGATTTCATTGTTTAGCATATGCTCATTACATTTCAGCCATTTACCAGCACACATTGAACACCGTGCTATTTTCCCTACGTATCATAAACATCTTCATTAAAAGACCTAAACGAAATTCACCAAGCCCCAATTAATTACCTACTCTTGAGAAATTATAAATGTATTCCTCGATATGGCAAATCATCTCCCGAGTGATAAACATGCCCGCTTCCTTCTACGATGACACACAGAGTTGGGGTTACGCTTTCGGTCCAGCCCTGCAGACCTTTGTCCGTTTCTCAGAGATGGACAATGGCCTTTCTCTATTTGGGTATAATTTAATCATGTGCTGCATTAATTGGAGGCAAGCAGCTAAAACAATCCGTAGCCTCAAAGTGCACCTAGCCTGCCACAAACACCGTGGGGTCACATGTCACTACCGTCTATATGTATGTTGAACTTAATTTGCACCGTACGTAGCCAACCGTGATAATCGGAGGCACTTAGTGGTGAATGGCAACCGCTGTTGTGTGCATGTGTATTTGTGTGTGTGTCTTTGGGGAGTGGTAGTGCAGTGGTTAGCGCACTGCGCGAGTTTGATTACCGCTAACATTGGTGAACTATATCTGAACCGGTTCTGGGTCTCCCCTAGCCTTTCATGAGTACCTGGTGTCGTGCTGGCCACCTACTCCATCGTGCACCATGGCCGGCCTTCATCGGTGCTATTCGCAAACAGCACTTTCCCCTACAGCCTGTTAAATGGGATCTGCGTGTGTGATTATGTGTGTGCGTGCGTGGGGAGAGGTAGTGTAGCGGTTAGCGCGCTGCACTACAAACCCAGCCACCCCAGTTCGATTCCCGCTCATGGCCAACACCAGTGACGATTATCTGAACTGGTCCTGGGCCTCCTCTACATCGACTCAGGCTCACCTGAATACCTAGTGTGATGTATAAACAAAATGCTCTTGAACAGCACATGCCCCAACGGTCTGTTGAGGCTAAACGGTGGGGGGGGGGGGGTCATTGTCTTTGTGGGTGCGTGACTTACTGGCCGGCAGGGGCTCGTCCACACGCTGGTAGCGGCTCATGTCCTGCCGGATGGAGGGCAGCTGGCACAGGGGCGGGTGGCTGCTCTCCCGTGAGGGAGGCTCATCTGCGGGAGAGGGCAAGGGAAGCCGTCGGCGACATGCCAGCTCTGGCAGCAGATGTCGAGGTTCATTCAGCAGCACGAGATTATTGGCGCCGAGCGAAAACCAGACACTAAACATGGAAAATCATTTATTTAAGCATCCTCTTTGGTTCTTTCGGTAAAGTCACGTAGGTAGAAAAAAATATATATATATTATATCACGACGTTTCGATCGCAACACAAGCGATCGTCTTCAGGCAGAAAAAATAATCCAGCAGCAGAACTGCTAAACCAGGAAGAACACAGCGAGAGAGCTGCTACAACAACAAGAGGTTATATATGTTGGCCAAGGGCAAGCAGGCGGGGTCCGAGCTGGAAAGGAGTCCCATGCCCGCATGCAAGCACGTCAGTTGTGTTAATGGTGGAGATTAGGGAGAGAGAGATTAGGGAGAGAGATTAGCATGTCAAAGTAAATGAGCTTCCGTCGCCGCATATGCGCACAGCAGCAGTGTTCATGGGAGATTAGCACTATGTTGATGGGAGAGATTATTGTGGATACAGCTTTGCGGATTGTGCGGTCTGAGTATCCATTCATCTTGATGGCTTGGTGTACGTGCTCCAGTTCGCTGGCTAGGTGGCGCTGGTCGGAGATGCAGCAGGCCCTATGATGTAGTGTTTTGATGAGGGAATTCTTCTGGGCCGGATGGTGGTGGGAATCAGGCTTTAGATAGGAATCCGCGTGGGTGGCTTTCCTGGAGACGGAAAATCCCAACTAGCCATCAGGCCTCTTCTCGATCAAAACATCCAGGAATGGTAGCTTGCCATCATTTTCCACTTCCATGGTGAATTTTATGGATGGGTGTATAGCATTAATGTGGTTGGGAAATTGGTTCAGTGGTGGCTGGCCATGTGGCCAGATGACGAAAGTGTCATGCACGTATCTCTTCGACACCTCGAATGTAATTGCACTTGAGGAAAACTATTACGTTAGACCGCTCGGCGTTTTCCTCATGGCAAGAGCAATCGGACACATGATCATCAATGATCAGGCTTGGGAAAACTGTTTCAAGTCATTCTTTTCTGCCAACCATTTATATCCGTGATTCCCATAATCTGAGGATGCCGAAGATTCGCGATGCCACGCTTACCCGCAGAAACGATGGAACTTTCAGATGGTAATGATGACGAATAAACATAACCTAAGCACAACCGTAATGTCACGGTCACCGCGAGTTTAGCGTGCTGCCGCACGTCCCACTGTGCCTCCAACTGCAACGCCCATGCATCCCCGACACGTACATATCATATGACTCAGTGCGAACATCCTGTGCTAAAAATATGAAAAACATAAACAGGGACGATGTTGCCCTGCGAAGCTACAATGTCACGCAGGCACGAGCGTTTGTTCGCGTTATCTCCTCCAGATACGTCGTCGTTGACAAAGATAACAACCACAGCGACTGGGTGTGGTGGGGTATGCCTGTTATGCAAGGGTTGGCGGATCACGTAGATTTGTCAAACCCTTAAAAACACACTGGCCCAGGGAAGTGCTTTGTTTGTGTTGAACGGATGCTGCCAGTCTCACGGCTTCAGGACATGAGACAAAGATTGACCTCTTTTCGTCTTGCAGACTGTTGGGCGGGTCAATAGAGTTAGTGAGCAACTATTTAGGAAAACAGCTACAACTGACTGGGCCAGCACTGTGCACAGCGGTGTTTTGTCATCTGAGCGATGGTGAAGGTCGCTGAGCTTGAGGCTGACCTGCTTCTCATGCCATGGCCTTATGCGGTAGCTGAGCATTGTGGGTCACTTCACCCAGCCATCAGCAACTCATCCCTTTATATATATGGATGGATGCGGCAGAATATACTTAGAATCCCGTTTTTTGGAGGAAAGAATTTATGGATCACGTAGATTCGTAAACTTCCCACACCAGGGGCAGTCACACAGCTCAGGTGGGCCGCTTGTATGTATGTTTGTATGTTGAATTTCTTTTGCACTGTACGTCGCCAACTGTTTTAATCGTAAGTGCGGGGGAATGACAACACAAAAGGCAGTCCTTAAAGAAATTCGTTTTTGATAAAGATTTTAAAGTGCATCGCTCTAGTGGCTTCCTGGAGCAGAGGTTCGTGGTTCGAGCCTGGTGTCCACCCTGGTTAACACCGCGAGTCTATTAACCGTAAAAAAATACCACGCGCCGTCGTATTCACAGTGGAGGTTAAATATCCTCCATTGGAAATGAGTAGGCCGTTGCGTGCCAGCACCATTTGTCTAATACAAAACCCCCATAAATTACTTAATTAGAATTACACAGCAGCAGCAGTAGCAGCAAGCAACATTGCCATCTATTGTGAAAACGTGGCAGAAAACCCTCCGGAGGAGCACCAGACGGTCAGCGGCACGCACATACACGCACACACGCGCACACACGCACACACGCACACACACGCGCACACACGCGCACACACGCACACACAAGCACACACACACGCACACACACGCGTACACACGCACACACACGCGCACACACACACACAAGCACACACACACGCACACACACGCGTACACACACACACGCACACACACGCACACACACACACACGCGTACACACACACACGCACACACACGCACACACACACACACGCACACACACACACACACGCGCGCACACACACGCACACACACGCACAAGGGAGAAACCGCGGCGGCGCACCTGCGGAGGGACACGCGGCGCCTGGCAAAGCCCTGGCCACCTCGTCGGCCTCCGCCTCCTGGGTCGCCGCCTGCAGGCTGTGGCGCCGCTGCCAGATCGCCTCCTCGGTGTCCGGGCCCCGGCCGTCGGCCTCGCCGCGCTCCGGGACTCCGGCCGCGGTCGCCATCCCTCCGCACGCACCGCAGCACGCCCGGCCGCTGGTGCCCTGGTCCCCACGCATAGCGAACGAGCGCGCGCGCATCGAAGCTCTGCGTCACGGCCCGCGAGTGCGCACGCCGCGAGTGTGTGCTCGTGCACGCCTCGGGGGAGACTGCATACATGGTGCTGGGCGTCGAGAGGAAAGGTGGTACAGGAGGAACCACCCAGCTGGCCACAACCGCAACTACTCAAAAGTCGCATTTAGCCGGACCGCGTTGGCTGATCAAATTGTTTTCCTGAAATGTTTTCGAAATGTTATAGAATAATTTGTCAACTGTGTACCTGAGAATGTGTAATGTATAATATCATTTACTAGACCACGTTGCGTGCACAATGTAGAAAACCTTGCTGAAGTGTATGAACCCTTTCCCGTTCCGATGACGTACGTGTAAATCTTCAAAACAAAACCGGAAGAAAAGCTGAAGTAACTTTATTGGCACCGAGGCTCCCAAAAGGCCACGCGGTGGAGGGCGTGTGGCACAATTTGCCGCCATCGATCATAGAGTGCGGTCGTGTCACTACAGTTCTCTGCAATGAGTGCAATGTCTTCTTAAAAAAAAACGGTGCTATGCCTCTCTAAATAAAATGAATGCTCACCACTTGCGCGTTCAAAGATTCAGAGGTGAACGAGACCCACCCTGCAACTTGCAGACATCTCGGAACGAGAAAGAGTTCAATGTACTTCTGGTGGTACGCAAATAGTACGCAAGTCGGGGTGGTAGAGGCTGGCTGGGAGGGGTGATAGGGGAGGAGTATACATTTCGATTTAAAGCTTTCGTGACTGCAGGGATTCATCTTCTTGGTTCTTTCGGTAAAGTCACGTAGAAGGGAAATAATAAAATAATAAAAATAAAACATTATAAAATAACTCTCACGACGTTTTGGCCACAACGCAAGCAGCCGTCCTCAGGTGAAGAACAGGTCTGTCGGAAAGACATCGTCTGAATGACAGACCTGTTCTTCCCCTGAGGACAGCTGCTGTCGGAAAGACATCGTCTGAATGACAGACCTGTTCTTCACCTGAGGACGGCTGCTTGCGTTGTGGCCGAAACGTCGTGAGAATAATTTTATTATGTTTAATTTTTATTATTTTATTATTTCCCTTCTACGTGACTTTACCGAAAGAACCTAGAAGAGGGGAGGAGGAGATGAGGAAATGGGAAAACCCTCAAACCAAACTATATAATTACCATACAGCACAGTACACAGCAAATACAAAGATTCCCAGCGTAGCCTTAACAGACCGTTGGGGCAAGGGGTAGGTGGCCAGCACCACGCCTGGCTGCCTTTAGATCCCGAGTGACGATGTTTACCCACCGCACCAGGTACTCATTGGAGGCTGAGTCGACCTAGGCTACCGGTTCAGATAATCGTCACTTGGTATTGACCACGAGTGGGAATCGAACTCGGGTCACCGGGTTCACTGTGCAGCGCGTTAACCGTTACGCCTCCGCTCAGGTACACACACCCCTACACTTCACATACTCATACAGCCTTACATATACGTACACATACGCAGGCACAGAGCTTGTATGTAGCAGTTACTACCTGCCTCCTGCCAAAGCCGCATACTCCTGCGAATATGAACAGGATCCAAGAGCCACAGCAGAAGAGTCAAACGACAAGCAATGCAGGAACCTGGAGACTTGAAGTCACAACAAATACGTACAGCACTTTTGCAATGAGTACAAACACAAAGACAAACATACCCCAAAAATAGCCTAACAGACTGTTGGGGCAAGTGCTGTTAGCGAGCAGCACCCCTATGATCAATCAACAAAATCAAACTTGATTTAATACAGCGCCCTTCATCAACTTAATTGTCAGAGTGCTTCAAATGTAAACATAAACATTATATCATTAAAAATTTTGATACACAAAATAGTAAAAAGTACATGCAGTTCCGAATATGTAAGAGAAAAGAGAAAATAGTCTTTAGCCTGATTTTAAAAAACGCTATACCTTCCAAATATCAGATGTTCGTTTTGTACTCAACTTGAACACAAAGTCGACCTGCACGCTGCACCATTAACACACTACAGTCTGTGTCATGAACACCCTACACACTGCACCATGAACACCCTACACCCTGCACCATGAACACCCTACACCCTGCACCATGAACACCCTACACGCTGCACCATGAACACCCTACACGCTGCACCATGAACACCCTACACGCTGCACCATGAACACCCTACACACTGCACCATGAACACCCTACACACTGCACCATGAACACCCTACACACTGCACCATGAACACCCTACACACTGCACCATGAACACCCTACACACTGCACCATGAACACCCTACACACTGCACCATGAACACCCTACACACTGCACCATGAACACCCTACACACTGCACCATGATCACCCTACACACTGCACCATGAACACCCTACACCCTGCACCATGAACACCCTACACGCTGCACCATGAACACCCTACACGCTGCACCATGAACACCCTACACACTGCACCATGAACACCCTACACACTGCACCATGAACACCCTACACACTGCACCATGAACACCCTACACACTGCACCATGAACACCCTACACACTGCACCATGAACACCCTACACACTGCACCATGATCACCCTACACACTGCACCATGATCACCCTACACACTGCACCATGATCACCCTACACGCTACACCATGAACACCCTACACACTGCACCATGAACACCCTTACACACTGCACCATGAACACCCTACACACTGCACCATGAACACCCTACACATTGCACCATGAACACCCTACACGCTGCACCATGAACACCCTACACACTGCACCATGAACACCCTACACGCTACACCATGAACACCCTACACGCTGCACCATGAGCACCCTACACACTGCACCATGAACACCCTACACGCTACACCATGAACACCCTACACGCTGCACCATGAACACCCTACACGCTGCACCATGAGCACCCTACACATTGCACCATGAACACCCTACACGCTACACCATGAACACCCAACACGCTGCACCATGAACACCCTACACGCTGCACCATGAACACCCTACATGCTACACCATGAACACCCTACACACTGCACCATGAACACCCTACACGCTGCACCATGAACACCCTACACACTGCACCATGAACACCCTGCACACTGCACCATGAACACCCTACACACTACACCATGAACACCCTACACCATGAACACCCTACACACTGCACCATGAACACCCTACACACTACACCATGAACATCCTACACACTACACCATGAACATCCTACACACTACACCATGAACACCCTACACCCTACACCATGAACACCCTACACACTACACCATGAACACCCTACACACTGCACCATGAACACTCTACACACTGCACCATGAACACCCTACACACTACACCATGAACACCCTACACACTGCACCATGAACACCCTACGCACTGCACCATGAACACCCTACGCACTGCACCATGAACACCCTACACACTGCACCATGAACACCCTACACACTGCACCATGAACACTCTACACACTACACCATGAACACCCTACACACTACACCATGAACACCCTACACACTGCACCATGAACACCCTACACACTGCACCATGAACACCCTACGCACTGCACCATGAACACCCTACGCACTGCACCATGAACACCCTACACACTGCACCATGAACACCCTACACACTACACCATGAACACTCTACACACTGCACCATGAACACCCTACACACTACACCATGAACACTCTACACACTACACCATGACACTCTACACACTGCACCATGAACACCCTACACACTACACCATGAACACTCTACACACTGCACCATGAACACCCTACACACTACACCATGAACACCCTACACACTGCACCATGAACACCCTACACGCTGCACCATGAACACCCTACACGCTGCACCATGAACACCCTACACGCTGCACCATGAACACCCTACACACTGCACCATGAACACCCTACACACTGTACCATGAACACACTACACGCTGCACCATGAACACCCTACACGCTGCATCATGAACACCCTACACGCTGCACCATGAACACCCTACACACTGCACCATGAACACCCTACACACTGCACCATGAACACCCTACACACTGCACCATGAACACCCTACACACTACACCATGAACACCCTACACACTGCACCATGAACACCCTACACACTGCACCATGAACACCCTACACACTGCACCATGAACACCCTACAAACTGCACCATGAACACCCTACACACTGCACCATAAACACCCTACACACTGCACAATGAACACCCTACACACTGCACCATGAACACCGCCTACACGCTGCACCATGAACACCCTACACACTGTACCATGAACACACTACACGCTGCACCATGAACACCCTACACACTGCACCATGAACACCCTACACACTACACCATGAACACCCTACACACTGCACCATGAACACCCTACACACTGCACCATGAACACCCTACACACTGCACCATGAACACCCTACACACTACACCATGAACACCCTACACACTGCACCATGAACACCCTACACACTGCACCATGAACACCCTACACTGCACCATGAACACCCTACGCACTGCACCATGAACACCCCCTACACGCTGCACCATGAACACCCTACACGCTGCACCATGAACACCCTACACACTGTACCATGAACACACTACACGCTGCACCATGAACACCCTACACACTGCACCATGAACACCCTACACACTGCACCATGAACACCCTACACACTACACCATGAACACCCTACACACTGCACCATGAACACCCTACACACTGCACCATGAACACCCTACACACTGCACCATGAACACCCTACACACTACACCATGAACACCCTACACACTGCACCATGAACACCCTACACACTGCACCATGAACACCCTACACTGCACCATGAACACCCTACGCATTGCACCATGAACACCCCCTACACGCTGCACCATGAACACCCTACACGCT